CGTAGCCAGAAGCGCCGCGGTTGCACTTGCCACGACACGCATCGACCCAGGAAGACGATCATAGCAGCCGCGGGTGTTGATGCCAGCCGAGGACACCTGAAGCAAATACGGTAGATGGATGGACTGCAGCGGCGAAGATGGCGTGTGGCTGCGCGCGACACGAACGCGTCTAGCGCGATCTCGGGATGCTCCCGAGGTCGGGGTGAACCAGCCGATCAACCTCAACTTGTCAAGGGCAACGAGGGCTTCATCACTGCCGTCACCCTTCGTACCTAGGTCTCATCCCAACGACACTTGGAAACAAATCCGTGGAGAAGGCACATCATCCTTGGAAGGAGTGCCCATGTACAGCATAGCAGGCAATAATCCACAAGCTCCGCACTAAGCGGAATTCCGCAACTATGCCCAGGTCCCAGTCATTTGTGAACATATGCCTGAGCCTACATAATGCCTCTGGCCGCAACCTGACCGTCGTATACAGCCCTAGCAAGTAAGATATCGGCGAGCAAGGAAGGACGCGTGATAGTGATTTGGGGCCATTATCGCATCAGGCTCCCATACTTTAGAGGCTCTCAGATACCGGTACACAATATCAAATCAAACAGCAAACAGCCTCAAGTATGGATCCTCGTACAGTCGGTACGGTACATCACCCGAATCCAAAGCCACCACTGACAAAACACCAAGACTTGTCTGCAGCAGCGCAAGATAGTTTCGCGACCTTTGTCAAGGACGAAGCCTTCTTCGCTCTCAACTTTTACCTAGCATGCAACAGCAACATCGAAGCTTGTGCGCCCATCCGCCAGAACCATGCATCTTTCCAACTCGAGCTGAACCAGCTTGAAAGCAGTCTTGATACGTCGAAGCCAGCGTACATCGTTCTCCGCCGCGGTGGCTCGCTCACGTTCATCACATACGTGCCATATCGCGCAAAGAACACCGTGCGAGACTTCCTCCTTCATCACAGACACGATGTTGTACGACAACTTGGCTCATCGCACATCTCAAGCTCGATAATATGTAAAGAGATCGCAGAGATTACAGACGCTCGATCGTGGGCAGAGCGAGATGCCGCTGCTACCCTGATAGACGACATAAGCATTCAAGGCAACAATCTAGAATCTCGTACGAGCGCCGCGCATGCTGAAGGCGCTCGAAAAGACCTAGGATACAGGAAGAACAAATGCCGCCTTTGCGATCGCCGCATGAAGAACAGAATATCGCCCGAAGCTCTTTCAGCGCTGAAGGTGCTTCAAGGCCCTGGGGCAGCCGTTCAGATCGTAAGACACACATTACAATAGTAGCTTTAAAGCGTGATAGCTGACCCGCCCCAGTCCGTTGACAGCAATACCGAGACCCTCAAGCTGAACTACATCAAGAACGAACTATCCCCGAAAGATGTTGCAGCAACCCTACCAACCGAAAAGCCTAGTTTCACCTTCTACCGTCACCCCGCCACCCATCTACTCTACTTCATCTTCCACTCGCCCGACCATGCCACAGTGCAGCAACGTATGAAGCACACAATGGCCATACCTGGTCTCATCAATGTCCACGCTCAAGACCAAGACGTGCATGTAGACCAGAAGATTGAGATTCATGAACCGGACGACTTGGTCTTTGGAGCCAAAGACGAGCGCATCGGCAGGTTCAGGAGCGTGTATCTGAGGAACGGGTTTGACGGGACGGAGAGCACGTATGATGGTTTAGAAGCCGACAAAGCTTTTTACGACGGGATAAAGTAGCGCATCTTTGATACATGACTTTTGTAAATAACACTCTCATCGTTCATCTACCTTGATTCTACCACACTCGTCTCACTACTTTACCTCGTGAATATACTCCGCTGGCTCGCCTCTTTCAGTTGAGCCTCTACGCTGACCAGCAAAGTTAAAGCCTTCTAGTACACATTATGCACATTGTAAGGTGACTGCGGAATTGACAGGAAGGTTTACACCAGCAAAGAGTAGTGGTGTTGAGGAACTGATCGGAAACTTATGCATACGCCCATATGATAAGGAAAGCAACCAAACTTTCCTCCTCGCTGAAATCCATCATCCATATATGACACATATCAGATTTTAAGGAGGCGTATCAGTCTAAAGCGTGTTTCTCATAGCCTATGGTATCGTACAGTACAGTAGATGCGCGAATGCTGCACGAAAAGAAAGACAAAACGCCATCTGCTTATATGCAAGTTTGTATGCCTTCACCCCAGTATGCAGCGGAGATGATGTGTGGAGGAAAAGAGTAGATAACACAGACATGACCGCGCCGATGCAGAAGTATAGACTAGAAAGCGATGAAATTGGAAATGAAAAGAACACCATGCAGAATGCTACCCCTTGTCTCAAAGTCAGGATGGGGAGAAACGTCTTTCCCTCCCAGCGCCGATGCAGGAATGTAGGAAAGACCTAGACCTAGATGGATGGAGATGTCGTGTGGGGATATCGAAATGACACTACGCGTTTGTGTGCGAAAGGAAAGACCCGCTTATGCATCTACATCGTCTTCCTGATACGCCTCCTCTTTCGCCCACTGTCGACTTCTACACTCGTGCTCATTGTATCCCGTGCACTCCGCGGGGTGGAAAACCGCTCACGGATGTGCTCCCGGATGACCTTCTTGGTCTTGTCGCGCTTCAACTGGCGCTCCTCGTCTGGGTCGACGAAGCGATGAACAGTGCGGTGATCGCGTATGCGCTCTTCCTTGTCGTGCTTGCCCTCCTTCTCCGTCTTGGGCCAGGGGAAGCCGTACAGTTTCGAGTGGCGCTCGCACCGTGGACATTCTTTACGCGTGTTGTAGCCGTCTTGTTGTACAAAGTCGACGTCGCATGTCTGGCAGTTGACCCACTTGGAGTACTTGGCTGACAGGAGAGCGTTCGATGTCATGTAGTCGCCCGGCTTTCGCGTGTTCTCGACATAGTCGGCTTCGTCTCCCTCTTCAATCGTGATTGGGGTACCAACGCGGTTCTGGACGTCGAAACGAGACTTTGAGCGTGTTGTTCGTAGTGTTGGGCGGGGTTTGCGCTTGACAATCTGCTGGTTCACATCGTCAAACTCGAAGCTCTCAGAAAGTTCGCTGAGATCGGACATGTATGCGTCTTCGTCTGCAGGCGGGGAGGGCCACGGGGCGTTTACCGTTGTCGTAGTGATTTCCTCCTTCACTATCGCCACTCCCATCGCTGGGCAATCTTGTATTGTCGTGGAGTCGACCTGCTCCTTGGGATCGCCGGTGTCGTGCGGGTGATCTTCGTCAATCGAGGTGGCATCTGTAGATGATTGAGTCGACTTGGGTGACGCTGCTGCTATGGACGATTGCGGGGATGCCTCTCGCGACGAGCTGGCCAAGTCCGTATTCACCGTAAGAACACCTTCGCTATGTTCATCGCGGACTTCTTGCGATATCTCTGGCGATGAGACCAAATTGGTCGCTGGATCCTCTATACTCGAAACCGGGAGCTCCTGACGCAGGGACGATGTGCTGTGTGCCTTCTTCAGCGTCGTCTTGCGCAGCAGATTCGATGTGTGCTGCTTGGATGGCGAAGTCTTCTGCTCAAATCTCGCTCGCTTTGGGGCAGGTGTTGAGTCACGCGAGGGGTCGTCGTCCGTTGAATCTTCCAGCGATCGCTTCTGAGAAATGGAGGCTGCATCGGAAGCGGTTTCGGCGGTCTGATCATGGCCTGCACCCTCCACCTCTTCATCATTCCCTTCGTCGTTGTGGACGACTCGCTTCATAGGTGCCCAGCCGTTTTGCTGCAGGCTTTCGCAAGTATTACACAAACACTCCTCATTATCGTCGCCAAAGTAGTCCTCGCCGTACGAGACTGTAATTTCTTCTCCTTCAAGAATCGGCTTCACTGCAACAATCTGCATGCCATCGTAGCCTTTGGTTGTGAGCTTTGCGTTTGCGTCGCAATCGTGATTGGCGAAGCGCGCGGGACCTAGGAACAAGGAGCGCGTCTTCTTGCGGCTTGAAATAACCAGACTGAAGTCCTTGCTCTGCAGCTCTAGAGTTTTCTCTTGCTCTTCAGTCATAGCTACTTGCACGCCGGTCAAATACTTGATTTCTTCGCGTGGGTTGATATCTCGTCGCGCGGTGATCGAGGCCTCGTGTTCCGTGATAATGTAGCGGTTGGTGGTGGTGACCTCGAATTGGCAGTCGGCCATGTAGATGTTGACGTATCTGCGGAGATGGCGCTTGAACTGATCCTGATCGCGCTCATCCTTCAGCGTGTTCATGAACCTGCGCAACCCCGGCAGTTGCACCAACTTGTGCACTGCCTCTGCAGGATCCCTCTCCCAGACTACGTGTCGTCGGATAACGTCGGCCACATCCTCCTCGTGTAATCCCCGCGAGCCTGTGAAGCGGCCACCTCTGTTCTTGCGAATCTTGGCCCAGAAGTAGAGTTTGTCCACGAGCGCGTCGGTGATGATGTCGTCGAAAGTGGCGAGCTTGTCCAGCGTCAGTTTCGTCGAGGGCGCCATGATGGCGCGATGGGGTGGATGAGTTCGAACGTGCCCGCGCAATCCGCCGCCGGTCGTGGAGATCGTAAGGAGTCGTGGGGTTTCGCGATTAAGGGGGAGGCTGGCAGGGCTGGCTGACGTTATGGTGGCCAGCAACGACAAGTCATTCACCGTCGCGTACAACAATAGCTGCACCACAAACGAAAAGAAAGAGCGTGCAGACGACGCGCGCAAGGGAAGGAGCGAGCGACGGCACGCACGGGGGATCCAGCACTCGCCCGATAGTTTACGGGAGTATGGACTCGACGGAACTAGCCCTGCAGGCTATCGAGACCCGCATGCGGCGCATGGGGTGAAGGGCTAAGCGAGCATCATCGGGGCCCCTGCCCATGTGCGGCTAAACTGCGGTGGCACGAGTCCGCCGGCTTGCGACTTTGACAGCGACCAAGACACACACCCCCGACGTCAACACCACCACGCCGCGCGCATCGAGGCAGGCAGTCGAGACCAGGATATCGGGAGAAGCCACACAGGATGATTCAATTAAAGGTGTGCTGGGCCGGTCACGGGCGGCAGAGCAAGGACTGATGGATGCCCTTCTAGACCCTCGTAAATTGCATCGACAACTCGGGCGCCGCCATAGTCGAGTGCGTCAATGTCCTGCGATCGAAGCGCCCCGCGAAAGTTGGTATGTGCGCGAAACTCCAAGGCACGGCACGAAGCTGATGGAAGCAGGCGACCGCATAGTAGTGGTTGTAAAGAAACAGCGAAATTTCGGCCCGGAAACCGGCAACAGCGTCTCCATCAGCGCAGCGAACAAAGTACGGCGAGGCGACGTCCGACACGCAGTTGTGGTACGGACAGCGAAGAAGTGGCAGCGGCCGGACGGCAGCGTGGTCAAGTTCGACGACAACGCCTGCGTACTTATCAACAAGGCCGGAGAGCCCATCGGATCGAGAGTCAGTGGTGTTGTCGCGGCAGAACTGAGGCAGAAGCAGTGGTCCAAGATCCTATCGCTGGCGCCCATGCACGTATAACGGCTGGCATGTGGGTGGGATGAAAGATGCATTTTTTGGGAGTCTATGAGCGCTTTGGAATGTAACATTATGTGTATGCCACTACAATTGTACCCATGGGTATCTCAACGGCTGTTCCCTAAACTCCTCGCAGCAAATATGTGAGAGTAAACGCCAGCTACATGCATCCATGTCGTTGTTCTCTTAGTTATCAGACGGGCGTGAGACGTGACCGCATCCGGCGCACACGTAATAAAGGGCCTGGACCGGTCAGAATGGCTTGCGAACATGGACGAGAAGCTTACCATGCCCGTCTCGGCGGTCCGCTGCTGCGACTGGAAGAAGACGGCTTCGTTCTCGCCGCACTCTGTGCATTGTTTCTGGATGCGCGGTAACTAGACGCAGGCACAGTCAGCGAGCACGCTCAAGAGCAAGCAAGCAACTGTACTGGTGGAAGACGCAGGAGGCGCTTTCAGGACGTGGGTTCGTCCCACATGTCCTCGTCAAAGTCGTCGTCGTAGTCTTCAAACATTTCATCCTCCTCGCGCATCTGCTGCTGGGGGCGCTCGGCTTGCGGGTCCTCGTCCTCGGCCTCGAGGGCAAAGCCAGGAGCCGATTCCTCGCCGCACTCCTGGCACATGATGGGCATGCCGCACATGGTGCAGCAGGGCATCTCCTCAGAGAGAGCGGCCTGGGCAGCTTGGGCATCGGACAGGGAGTAACCAACCGTGGGATCCTGAGCAACCTCGGCTGTGACACCAGCTGTGGCTCCGACTGTGGACGCGATTTCGTGGCGCATGACGCAGGATGAGGGCGCTTCTTCGGTGAAGTTGCATGTGCGGCAGGCGAAAAGCAGCTTGTTCTCGGACTTGTCTTCGCGGGGGAATAGCAGGTTGGAGCTGCGCGTGATTAGCCAGGCTTCGTGGTTGCAGAAGAGGCGACGCACCATTCTGAGCAGAAGCGGAAGAGAATGGGCTCCTTGCCGCCCTTGGAGCCGCCCATTTGCGCTGCTGGTGAAGCCATGCTGAGTGGACGTGAGGTCGTAAATCGTAAATGTGCGTGTGCGTGTGGATCGTCGTGACGGCTGTTATGCGCGTGTGAAGAGACAAAAGCGTCGAGGAAGCCTGCGCACAAAAGTTGGGTAGGTACAGAGACAGAGTCACGTCGGCGAGCGCGGGCCACCCGTCTTGATTCGCGCGGCTTCCGTTGCTGTAGCAGAGCCGCGTTCTTTGTTTGGCAGGCGCCCCCGCATTATCGACCTTGAGGCGCCGATCGCCCTGTCCACCGCCTGCAATTCTAGACGTCGCTCCACGCTGCACGCACAACTGCCCGTGCGGAGACTCCTATCAACCTCTGCACTGCTCGCCCTCCCCCTACCACAGTCTACTCCGTCCAGCGTCACGCATACATCGCCAGCAACCATGGTAAGCACTGCGCCCGTCGTCCCAACCCACCTCGCACCCCCTCACGCATCCTAGTCGTCCGCCGAAACTGGTCTCCCCGAGGGATGGGAGGTGCGCCGCTCCAACACCAAAAACCTCCCATACTACTTCCACGCCCAGACGAAAGACTCGCGATGGGAGCCACCAGCTGGAACCGATCCGGACAAGCTCAAGGCATACATGGCCGCCAACCACAGCTCCAAGGGCGTTGCGCCCGCAGCCTTCGCGCCGACTGAAGGCAAGATCCGATGTGCCCATCTCCTCGTCAAGCATCGCGACAGCAGGCGTCCGGCTAGTTGGCGGGAGCCCAAGATTACGCGCTCGGTCGAGGACGCCCGGGAGATGATACGGGACTACCAGAAGCAAATACAGGCGTACGAGAGGGGCCAGGAAGACGACACCGCCAAGTCTCTGTCTGAACTCGCGACGACCGAGTCGGACTGCAGCAGCGCTCGCAAGGGGGGCGATCTGTGAGTCTCTGCAGTGGGAGATGCGGCGGGAAACGCTAACGTCATCAGGGGCTTCTTTGGCAAGGGCGACATGCAGAAGGAGTTCGAGCAGGCTGCCTTCGCCCTCAACAAGGGCGAGGTGAGCGATCTGGTCGAGACGGCATCGGGGGTGCACTTGATCCAAAGGTGGGACGAATGCCACAGGTCTCAGTATGATGCTAACCATACGCAACGCAGGTTGGAATAGTCGATGCGTCGCGCCAAAACTAGGGCAAACAAAGCGTCATGTACTGTGGTGAGGGGTTTCCTGGGACGCGTGCGGGCTGTGCAGACGCGTCGTGGATACCCGCTCAACACCAAGACAATCATGGTAGTACTAGTAATACTACTATCATGAGACATGCATGTGAAGTCCAGGAGCGGGCGCAGCACGTTGGCCGTGTGTCGTGTGTGGTTGTGGTTGTTGTCTGTCTGCTAACATGATTACGTCCTTTGCAGCTCCCCCTTGGTCGATCCGCGTTGGTTAGGGACCGTACGTCGTTGCACGCGTGCTGACGACAAGCAGACCACAATCGAGAGGGCGATAGAGTTTGTGGGGCCGGAACCAGACGCCTTGAGATAAATTTTTCCCATCGCCCGCACACAGCCCACGGCGGCCAAATTCGCGCCCTGCTACAAAAGCGCGCACCAGGACATCGTCGTCGCATCCCGTCTCGCCGTACCGCTCTGCGCTTGGACAGAGACTTCGGCTAACGCGACTTCCCCCGCCAAAGCCATCGCTGCGCTACTGCAGTGAGTAGGCGCCGGCCTCCAAGTACCTCAGTCAGCTGACGTTCAGACTTGAAACCCGCATACTAAAGCCGTCTGGGAGCAGACCTCGAGCCGTCTCCCACTCACTTCGCCTCGCACTCGCACCGTTTCAGTGCGTGTGGCTGGTTTCGGCATCCCTCAGCCTGCGCCTCGCCCCCAAGCCAGCCCGGTTCCGGATCAGCCCGAGAAGACAAGGAAGCGGCGGCCCAGTGACGTATCATGTAAGTTGGCTGGTTTTATCCTTTTTTTGCATCAGCCCACCTCAGAAGACGAGGAGCAGCACCGTCGGGCGCAGGTTCTAGACATGGCCAGCAAGTTCGTTTTGGGAGCCTGCTGCAGCGCCGTAGTGTGGCGGGCATGCCGTGCAGCGACTGGGCGGCCATCATCCCGAGCGTCTGGGTGTCGTGCCCTAGCACCTTTTGCAAGGTCGGCGCACGCACAACGCTTTTCCCTGCGTCACAGTAGCCCGCAATTCGACTGTCAAGCTCCTGGGCATTTGGCCTCACCAACCACAGCGTTGCCGCCCCAAACCCTCCCTTCACCACCGCGCCGCTGTGCTTGCACGCCCACCCCGACCGCACCGCCCGTGCAGCTGCTCTCACTGTCCATTGACGTAGCTGCCCCGTCAGACTATATGGGAAAGTCCCGGGGCCGCACTTTCCCATTACCATCAGCTCACGCACCAACGCCGCCCGCAAAGTGCCCGCATACCCCTGCCGACTCCACACGGCGCCCTGTTTACTCCGCTAACACCTTCGATCACCAGCGCTTCCGCGATCTTTCACCCTTCCACCTCCACCACCTCACACAACCTTTTTGTCTAGAAGATTCCCGTCGTTCTCTACAAATATCACTCACGCTCCTTTGAGTCTTGACAGCGCCACTCACTGCAGTGCTCCCGCTACCCACTATCCTACTCCACCCTCCACTCTCCTTCGACCAAGACTCCACACAGACCTACTCAACCTACCTCGTTGCCGCTATGGCTGCTCCACTATCTCCCCACCCTGTCTACCACGACCCCATCCCAACATCCCGCCGTAACTCCAGTCGCAAGACCATCTCCTGCCTCTCACGCACTCCCTCCAACGTCGATGCTCCTCGCACTTTCTGCCCCAAGGACGGTGATGCATTCAGCTACGACCCCTCTCACCTCCGCCACTGGTACTGTCCCCAAGAGCTCTGGGACCGTCTTCCCAAGCAAGTCCAGTCCTGCCTCGGTGATGTTCAGCATGCGGGTGCCGCTGTTCTGACTGGTAAGTCCAAATACGTCTCAGGCACTTGATATCGTACTAACCCAAAACAGGCTTCGAGCGTCTCGACAAGCACCTCGACAACTTTGACGATAGTCAAGTCGACCCCAGGGCCACTGGAGACGAGCTTCTGGTCCACCTCGACGAGCTCCCGCCCCCAAAATTCCGCACAGTCAGCAACGCCAGCAGCGTCTTCCAGTCTGACACTTCTTCGCCTCTCACCAGCGCATCGTCCGCTTCTCAGTCAGGGAGCGCCTCTCCTTCCACTCCAGCCTTCTCTGTGTCTCAGATCATGTGCCCTGGTTCACCCATCTGCTTGGGTCCCTCGGAGCTCTCCCGCTCACGTGAGCGCTCCTTCTCTACGCCGCTTAGATCGCACGACGCCAAGTACGCCGCGGAGCTGTCGCACCTACGTACCGAGGCCCTGCCGCGTCTACGTCACAAGTCTTACAAGGTCGAGACTGAGTGGCAGGAGGCCAAGCGTGTCCCGGGCGCCATATCTGCAGATGACATCAACGCCTTCGAGAATTTCTGGGCCGAGAAGAAGTTGCTGATCCTCAGTCTTAATGAGCGGGGTAAGCGTCTTGCGAGTGCCGCTGGTCTTGCTACCACCGGACTCGGCTGGTGCGCCCCGTAGAGGCTAGTGAGGTGGATCTCCTCGACTTGGTCACTCGAAATGGTTCACTGAGCGCATCAGTTACGCGACATGGCGCAGCACCCCCAGCTACAGCCAGTCGACAACCATGAACTTCTTTTCTTTTTCCATTTTCTTGGAGTCCTGTTTCCTGGTTTCTGCTTCACTTCCTGTGCGTTACAAGCGAGGAGTTGGTCGGTCGGTATTTATTCATGTAGGCATCTACACAGCAGATCGGGAAGATCTACACTTGGAATGGACGTGCGTTCACGATAGATCTCATACACGCCCATGTCTTCACGACGGCGGTCTCACGAGAGATCCATTTTTGCCCATGGCGGCTGCTATGGGGCATTCTGGCGGGTTCAACCCGGCTCATCTTAGGCGTAAGGTCAGCTCAGCTCAAAATAACGAATCATAACATCTACATGACGACTTTGTTTGTGCATATTCCTGCTTATCGGTGATGCGCGTCGCTTTCGTCATTGGTCACTTCCGAGGGATGCTGGCTTGATACCCTTATATTGTGATGCCCAACACCGGCCATATCGAGCCAAAGGTGCATGAGTTGTGGCTGCCCAACATACACAAGTGAGTTCGACGCCTCTCGCCATCTCCGAGGAAAGCTGACAGGGCGCCCTGATATTGTCGACACGGGTCGTGCCAACTATGAGGTTGGTCATGTCGAGAGACGCAGCCAAGCCAAGGCAAGCGCAAGCCCGATGCTGCACGTTCCTCGGCACCGCAGCCTGCATCTGCCAGCAGCAGCCAGCTCAGGCCGCCCCGCCCCTGCCACAGCAACGAGAGGGGGTGTGTCCGCGCCCGCGGATCGACATGTTTCACTACCCAGGCCCCAACCACGCGAAACAGGGCGTTCTGACCGCATTTTGGATCGCTCTTATGGGCGAAACGTGACGCGCCCTGCTTTAAAATAAAAAGAAGAAGAACAAGACCAAATTTGGGTCCGTCGCAACGATTGGTCTGACCAGGCTAATATTGACCGAGACATACACACGTACGTACTATAGTAATGTTTCCGTGCCGTCTCTGCTTTGCTCACACATGGAGGACCAGGTGTTGCATATTCCTAATAAGCATCGTCGTCATCTGTATCAACTCGGGGCTGTTTGCCACGATCCAGACTGCCGTTGTTGTTGGTGTTGATGAGGTTGGCCCTCCTCCCAAGCGGACTGGCACCGAAGTCACGCCTGATCGGGCTATCCCTGTCTTGAACGCCTGGTCTCCTGGTGGTGCCACGCCCTAGAATGCAACAAGATTTAGTGTGCTGTACTGTACGTATCCCAAGAAACATCATGGTGGAATGATGACCATGATCATGGTCATGATGAAAGGTGGGTGACGGGGGCTTTTTACTTACCGGCCCGGTCACGGATTCCTCCTGCTCCGCCGCCGCCGCCGCCGCCGCCTTGTTCATGTCGTATGCCTGACGACCGCATCGAAGGTCCTGGTCCGAGATCGAACTCATCAGACGATGTGTCCAAGTGGACTCGTCTACCTCCTCCACCTCGATTGCGTCCACCGCCCATCATCATGCCTCCGCGGCCTCCAACCCCCATGGCTTTGGCGTACATGGCCGCCATCTGATCCATATCCATATCCATGCCCATACCCATGCCCCCATTGCCAAACTGCCTGCCTGCTTTGGCCGCCCCTCGATGCGACAGGAAGGGGTGCCGCATACCTCCATTCTTGCCTAGGAGACCGCCGCCGGCAGATTGCATATACGGATTCCCCATGTTCATGTTTAGCCCCATGTCGTCCATTTCTGACAACATGTCGTTTTCGATGCCCCCTCCCATGCCCATACCCATGCCCATGCCCATACCACCCATGCCATGATGCATCATACCCCGTTTACCACCCGTCACTGTTGGATTAGCCATGCCAGGTGGCATCCGACCCGTGGTGCCGTATGGATCACCGGACATCATGCCCATCTGCTGTGCCATTCGCGGATCCATATCCATGCCACCACCGCCATTGTTCATCATGGAAGCACTCTGGCCCATGTTCGGGCCGCCGAAAGGTTGTCTAGCGGGACTTTCGGAACTGTCACGCTGACGTCGTTGCTGTTGCTGACGACCGTCTTTCCTGAGATCTTGCAACGCTTCCAAGATGTCATCTTTGAGTGTGTCGAACTGGTCTTTGCGCTTCTTGTATTCTTTCTCATCCGACTTTCTCTTCGTCTTCTTCTTTCTCCTTTTGCTCTTTTCGTCTTTGCTACTGCTGCTGTCGCTTTCACTGCTGCTCTTTTTGCAGGCTGTGTGATCGCCGCAGTCTCGGCCCAGGTCGGTTTTCAGTATGTATCTGATCTCACCGCTAGTGCGGAGGTGGTCTTGTTCGTCTTCGTTGGAGTCGCTGCCATGGTGCTGGGGATCATTCTGGGCACGGTATAGTACGCGGTGGCTTTTCCGGCAGTTGCAGCCTGTGGTGCAGGTACAAGCATCAAGCCATGCGTTGTCGCCCTCGATCCACTCTTTCCCCGATGGTCCAACTTTCTTGTGAAAAGGTTGACCGCGGTTCAAACGGGCTGACGTTTGCGGCTCCGCCCGAGGCCGCCGTGGCTTCTCGGCGTTGGCATACGCGCCCATGGGGATGTGTTCGTAGTGTCTTGGCCTTCTGCCGGAGTGTCGTCGCGTCGCCTGAGGTGGATCAGGAACGCTACTCGATGACTGGCTGGATGGTGGTCCCGGGTGGTTTGTGTACGGGTTCATGCCTGGCCCCGACACACCTCCGCCAGCACCAAAGCGAGGAGGCATTGGTGGATTGGACGTGTATTCCGGCGGCATGCCAGATGGCGGTCTAACTCCCATTCCGCCCGCTCCAGCAGGCCCCATGCCACCGCCCAATCCCCCTAAACCTCTCATGCCACCTAGCCCCGGACTCCCGGGCATGCCCATCGGCATACCGCCCATCATGCCAGGATAGCCACCTACCTGTATTTCAGGCGCAGACCTAGGTCTTGCGTCCATTCCGTCGAAAAGCCCTCCTGGTCCACCTCTTCGGCCCACTCCTGGCATGCGACCTCCCATCATGTTACCTGGGTATTCGTTGGAGGGTTGTCGTCGCATACCCCTTGGGCCTATTCCCTCCATCATGTCGAGTGACGTACTTTCGCTCTCCTCACTGTCTTCCAAGATATCGAGATCTCGTCCCCCGTAGTGAGGTCTTTGTCTTGAGCGTAGTCGCCTGCCTGGTGAACAGGGTGTGTAGATGGGACCGCGTGTGTACGGCTCTGATCGTGATCGTGCGTAAGAAGGTGGGTGGACGGTGAATGCTGTACCTATAGACAACCTGTCAGTACCGTAAGTTTTAAGGTATACTAGAACCCGTGGTAGGTGGCAGGAAGAGAGGGAGGGTTACCAGGTGGAACCAGGACTTTGCCTCCTGGAGCGTTGACTTCAACAAGTGGTGGAGGCGTAGAATGCGATGCACCCATATCGGTCGCGTTGTACGGACCAATGCAGCAGACCGTTGTGCTGTGCTATAAAAGAAGACTCTCTTCGATGAGCCTACCTAGGTATATTGTCTTGATCGTCGTCGTTCTTCTGCTTTCTACACCGAGTGATACTTTTGCCTTCTATATCGATTTCATCTCAATCTGATCTTCTCCACTAATGACCTTGAACGTGTAATGGATAATGGCGGGTGAAGAAAGGAGTGTAAAGACTGATGTATTCCCTAACCCTCTTAATTCAGCACCTGCTAGCTTGAGCCATCTGCTGACATGCCAGCGGTTATTTGTTTGCTGTACTGTGCTCTAACGAGGACACACGAGTGTCGCGTCACGTTACACGACAGCATTCATTGTCGTGTCGCGGTTTGTGGCTTTACGCCAGGCGAGATTCTCAATTGTCCAACTTCCTCTCAACGTATGAGTGTGATTTCAGGGCAGTATCGAGAGAGCATTAGAGATCACAGTGGGGTTTACGTATGCGCGTATGTCTTACGGTGCCGTTGTCGGATGTATGAATGAGAGTGCTTCGCTTTTTGTCAAAGCAATGCATCATCATACTTGAGTGGAAAAATTATCACGCTGCGTCCGTGCGACGGAAAGCCCTGGGACACGGGAGATCAATAGAGAAGAATGCAATCATGCCGCTCCACAATACGCGCACCAAAGCGAGAGACTGTGGTTGCTGTATCTATTGATGCCCTGCCTGCGTAGAGACGAGGGCCCTGGAGGCAGCGGCAATCACACGATCCCCGCAGCGCATCACGCACAGCACACCCAGCAACAATCATGTAATATGAAAAAGTAGACTTTGGAGTCATGTTATGTTCTCATACACCTGATATAACTACTGCTCATACTCCATGCCTCGTCGCTATCAATCATTATGCAGTATCATAAACCCATAGCCGGCAACGCCGAGATGAATACAACGCCTATCCACACCAGACAGTAACAAGAACAGTGATAAGATGTGATACAAAGAAACAGACGCAACAGCACTCCTTCAACGTTTCCGCGGCTTTGTATGCAACAGCGAGAATGTGCCGAAGCGCCGCAGCTCAGCGAGATGGTGTATTCGACTCGGGAAACGGATGCGCAGCACCCGCACCTTTCAGATTTCTCCTCCCCTGTCGCCGTCTCCAAAACCCCAATCTTAGTCGATGAGAGAGAGAAGAGTATTGGCGAAGCTAAAACGCAAAGAAAAGCCAGTAAGTAATTGAACAATCAATGAAAGAGGGTGACTGGTATCAATGATGGAGATGGAAAGAGACACTAGAAAATCATCGATCGAACCTGCTCTCTGCGACCCGGCTTGCTGGACTCTTGCGTTCGCGGCCGTGGCGGCGGCGCATGCGACATGCGAACATCCTTAAGAGGTGGAGTCGGCGCGTGCGATTGAGTGCGGGCGTGGCCCTTTACCGGACTTGAAGGCGTGGACTTGATAGAGCCCAGTATATCGTGCGACTGAGTGCGCTGATGAGAAGGCCGGCGGTTAACGCTCGGTGAGCTCGTGACCATGGGATGCGACTTGGTTGGCGAGATTGGCGCACCAATCTGCGATCGCGTAGCCTTCTCCTTACGCTCCTTCTCGAGGACCATGGCCGCCCAGCCCTTGTTTTGAGCAATGTCCTTGCCAACGGTCTCCGAGAGCACCTTCATCCAGGCCTCTTTCTGTTCCCGACTGTCGGCGTAAAAGTCAATGACCTCACCGTTAGCGAACCGTATGCGGAAGCCCTCTTCAACGAACATATAGCCCTCCTCATCCTCGGCGAACCCGGACTTGCGCCGACCACCGGTCTTGGTTGCGGATGGTTGCTGGAGAGCGCTCTTGTCATCCATGAGCTTCGAAGCTTTGGCTAGATTGATGGTAGCACGCGGCTGCCGTGTGGACTCGTGGTAAGCCGTAAGCTTCGTGCCTTCCAAGCGGAAGAAACGACGTCGCCAGTACTGCAATGAATGTTAGCCATGTTTACGAATAATGTTGCAGGCTTTCAACTTACTGGACAGTCACCACCCTGTTGGCTCAGTGTACCTTCGAAGCTGATGTCCTTGACTTGCTCAGCCTCCTTGAGCTCGCGAATGCAGGCATTCATGCTCTTGGGCATGTCAGAGTCCTTTGCGTTCTTGGGCTTCGGGACGTATAGCAACTGAAGAGTGAGCTTGCCCACCCGGTAAGGTGGGCGGCGAACGACACCTCCGCGCTTGCTCTTGACACTGCTGGCGCCAGTATTATCGACGGCCCACTCATTGAAGCAAGGAATGTCAACAGTCAGCGGACGGCCATATGCTTGGTTCTCGTGGTTGTTGAGGCAAACATAGGCACGGGCGAAAGACCCATCAGGTCCGACGAGGTCATGGAGCAGGTCCCAAGCGGTGGCCTTTTGATTGCGCTTGGCAGCAGCTTGAGCCTCCTGCTGTTCCTGTTGAGCAATGCGGTCGGCTTCCTCTTGCGCTTTGCGTTCCTGCTCCTTTCTCTTCTTCGGCGATGAGAGAAGGTTCCGGAAGGCAGAGTGCGACTTCTTGTGGTTGACAGCCTTGGCTGGCGCGGCAACAATCTGAGGGACGGCTGGAGGCTCCAGCTTGGTCTGTAATGTGAGCTGGAATTCGAGATCATCCATGACGACAAGCTCAAACTCTTGTCCGATGGGAGCGGATTGGCCAAGCTCCAACCAAGACGTTGTAACGCAGTGCAGACCGTTGTCAAGTGTCAACTGGAAGTGGGTTCGCTCGTGCTTTGGTAGCGGAAGATCAAGGTCCTTGACACCGACGACCTTGACGAACACGAGACCGCGTTCCTCGCCCTCTTCAGGCTCACCGTCGTCTCCCTGTTCAGCGACTGAGTCTAGACCACCAGCAACAGCAGATTCTTGGCCAGGAAGAGGTGGTGCAGGACCCTCAGAGGTTCGAGTACGGCGACCGGATGCTGTCCGGATGCTCTTCCTGCGAGGCTTGCCATTCCAAGGCTCCTTTGTCCAGGCGGGCTTACGTTCGGCGCTCGTCTTACGAGAGACAGGCTTGGCAGCTGCATCGCTGGTGGGTTCGGTGGGGGTAGGCGGTTTCTCGTCGCTAAACTGTCGACTACTGGCGACAACGACTTTGGTGTTTTCGCGCATCAAGTATCCTTTCTGCTCGGGAATAGCATCGTTAGCGGGACTGTGCCTATAAACAAAACCTTCACCTGACATCTGGCAGGCCGCGTCGGAGACGGCAGCGGAAGATGTAGGGAATCTGGCGAAGGGGGGAATGGGGAAAAGGTTCTCTACCTTTTGTGACTCAATGATGTTATCAAACTCCTTGTCTAGCCCGAAGCTGAGATCGTTCGACTCGTCACCCAGGTCGAGATCACCGAGCTTCAGAGCTAGCATGCGGTTCTCCTTGGTGGTAATGCTCACTTGCGTATCGTCGTCATCGAAGTGACCTTCTTCGTCGGCATGGCCCAACTCTAGGCTCATTGACTGGCGCTTCGGGCTGCGCTCAGGGACTGGCGGTGCATGCTGGCCACTAACCTGGCGACGCGTAGCTGCCATGTCAACCTCATCAGGGATGAGCGACGGGCGAGTCTTGAGCTTTCCTCCGGCACCCCGGATTGTAGCTTCCCGTTGAGGAACCTCTGGGGCATTTTCCTGAGGCGGAGGGGAAAGAGCCACTGGATGCCGAATGACAGAGTCTGGGGTACCAGGCTCCTCAGACTCGGAACCGTCCTCCTCTGTCTCTTGAGCTTCAGGAGTAACAGGGCGGCGGAGGAAGTCGCGCATGGCATCCAGCTTGGGCGCGGTATCCAATGGACTGGCAACAGTCGCGAAAGAGGCCTTTAGAGGGTCCAAGCTAAGATCCATATCTTTACCTTCGAAAGTAGAGTACATCTCGTCCTGAGGCGCCTGCTTCTCACCTGAGACAGGAGAAGAGGGGGCAACGACGGGTGTTGGTGGACCTGATGAGTCGATAGTACTCTGGGAAGTAGGCTGCTCTTCAGGCTGAGGCGAGTACTGGCTGGTATCGTCTTCGTCGTCTGACTCCTGGGGCATAGGGTGACGGATGACAGACGACTCGCGCTCGTAGTCCTCGAGTTGAGAGATGGAACTGCCATCTACATCGGTGTCATCGGCATGATCGCCTTCATCTGGGTTGGCATAGCTGTAAGCGTCGACAACGCTGTCGGCCTCGCTGGCGGAGACACCTGAGACCTGACGCGGATGCTCGTCGAAGTTGGAAGAAGCTTCACGCGACGGAATAGGAACATCAGGGTCGAGGTCAGCGAGATCGCCATAGCTGCGCTCGGGGCTATACTCTGGCTCAAACTGGCTGTACTCTTCCTCTTCCTCATCGTCGTCCTCACCGTCCTCGAAGTTGCGGCTCTTGACGCGCCGGAGGATGGACTCGCGAGAAATGCGCGGGATCTTGGGCTCGTCAAGCGTTAGCTCGGACTCTGTAACGTCGACTTCTGCAACGTCAACTTCGACTGCCTTCTTCTTGTTCTGCATCTCCTGTGTTGGAGTGCTCGTATCGCGGTCGTCATCAAAGTTCATCAGACGCAACCGGTCCTCGAGCGACATGGACACCTCGCGCATGTTGAGCAAATCGCTCTTGGAGATGCCAGCTGCTTGCGGAAGCTGAGGAAGAGAACGCCGCCTGTCGCCAACTCGCTCTGCGGCAGCGGACAGGCCGATGCTCGAGTCGCGCCGCCGGTTGGGGCTGCCTGGTATGGCGGGAAGAGGAGGAAGCGGTCTTGAGTCGCTGTCGGAGGCTGTTGACCCCATGCGGGAGCCATTGGTCGTACCGTTGGGACGGGCACTGGGCATGGGACTGTTGTCGCGACCTTCAAAGACATCGTCGTAGAGATCGGTGAGCGAAGTGTCGGCAGCCTGCGGGCTCATGTGGCGCCAGTCCTCGGGCAGCACGACCGGCGTCTTGTCTGTGTCTTCTAGGGAGGCATCGAAGCTGTCGTCCTGGTCGAAGCTCATCTCCTCCTCTGTCTCGTCTTCGGAGTCGTAGCTGCCGTCGCGCGACATGGTGGCGACTGAAGGGTCGGGCGTGACCATCTCAAACTCGGTGATTTGAGGTGGAGCTGTGTCGAAGGTCACACTCTTAGCATGGCGGCGCAGCGGGCGGGGGGTCTGGTGGACGAGCTCCTCGTCATCAGACATGACAGCGCTCGAGTCGCCGTTGTACTGTGGGGAGTTGAAGCGACCGTTGCTGACGAGCGAAGATTTGGTGGGCGACATGCGCCCCTCGGACGGCGAGGGCTTGGAGGGTGAAGCGAAGGAAGACTGTGTGGGCAGCTTCGCGGGCGACGTCTTGGAGGGGCTGAGGATGGGAATCCGTGTCTGGCTCTCGGAGCGGCTGTGGTGGTGGCCCTGGGCCGCGCTCTCGACTTCGTTACGCATGCCGTGGAGGCCGCTGCCGCCATAGGCGTTGCCCTGGACAGCGGTGCTGAGTGGGCGTCCTGCGGCGAGCGGGCGGTCGAGCGGCTGGACCGAGTTGGGGTCGTACTCGTGCTTCTGCTCGCGTGCGAACATGCTGCTGTTCTTGACGCGCGACTGCTTCTTCAGGTTCTCGATCGAGTTGCGCTTGGGCGAGAGGGGCGAGCTGCCCTCGTACTCGTTCTCCGACGTGTCGAAGCGGCTCTTGGGCGACGTGGTCTGCTCCTTCCAGAAGAGACGCGGGCTGTGAGTGAATGGCGACGAGTCGCGGAAGGGCGAGCTCTCTTTGGTCAGGATGATCTTCTGGGCCGGGTTAGCAGGCAGGCGAGCGAGGCGGGCGCGGGCACATACCTTGGTTGTCTGGTTCCAGCTGGGAGAGTTCCTGCGGTGCTCATGGGGGCTGATTTCCGACAGGGGACGGCCGCTTCCCTTTGTGGGCGAGGAAGTGGGCGTCTTGTTGATGCGCAGCGGCGACACCTGAGGGCAGTGCGGTCAGCATCGCGCGCGCCCGACGTGAAACAGGCGAGTGCAAAAGGAAGTACGATGATGCTTACCGCTTCGTTGCGCGACATGTTGACTGCTACGTGCGCTCGCGCTGGGTGCGTCGTGGTGTGGACGCCGTGCCGTGCGCGGGCTCGCACTCGGGCGGACTGGGTCAAGAATGGGCTCCGTCGAGGAGTCGTGCAGGCTCAGCGGAGAAGGGCTGCGCGCTGAGGGGAAAGAGGCAGGCAAGAAGCGAAGGGCACCGACAGAGCGCGGGGGCAGATGTGCGATGGAGGAGCGGAGGAGGATGTGTGGGCGCGCGTAGTATTGATATGGCTGGGGCCGCGGGTGCTGCCCAGTGTTGATGGCCGGGATGCAAGCAAGGCGTCGGTGTTGGGCGGTTGGCCGGGCAACGTCCCGCTTATCGGCTGCCCTGTAGCGCCTCGAATTATCGCGCCATCGCCTGTGCAGCCCGCACGCCAGCGCGCATCCTTTAGTCAAGGTTTGGCCTAGCCGGCGCATGCTAGTCTAGCTGGCCGTCTTAATTCCATCCTGCCTGTAGAGCCTGCCGTTGCAGCCATGTTGCGCAGAGTCTCGGGCGTGTGCCCCCTCTGCCAGGTGCAGGCCCTTTCACGACGACCTCCGCCAGCCCACCACGTCCGCCCGTACACGCAGCTCCAGCGCGAACGCGGGGAACGCCATGGCGCAGCCTCTTCACGACCCCCGCGGCCCGTCCGCGGGCGTGACCATCCCAGGCCGTCGCGGATGATGCTCTCCGACGACGTCGCGCGCGCCGCAGACAGAGGGCCGGCGAGGAAGCCAGACGCCTTCGACTTCCTCAACAGGACCGAAGCACCACGGGGCCTGCAGCGCATGCGCGAGCAGCGAGAAGCCCGCGGGAGCCGCCCGGCCACTGGGCGCGACGACGGCAAGCGGCGCACGCGAGCAGAGCCCTTCCACGCCCTCAAGATGCAGAGTTCGCTGCACCAGGTGCCCTACAACAACCGCACCGCCGTCAAGCGCCAGCTCGACGAGTACGACTCGTTCGACAAGTTCCCCCTCGCCGAGCCCATCCTGCGTGCCGTCAACGATGCCCTGCCCGGCCTCGAGTACCGCAATCCCACCCCCGCACAAGCCGTCGCCATCCCCGCCCTCCTCGGCCTGCGCAAGGCGGTGCGCGCAAAAGTAAAGTCGACCAAGAGCGCGCCCGACTCGTTCCTCCTGGCAGCCGAGACGGGTTCAGGCAAGACGCTGGCCTACCTCCTGCCCACGCTGGACGCTATCAAGGCCGAGGAAGTGCGCGAGAAGGACGAGGCTGAGGAGCAGGCCCAGAGAGACGCCGCCGACGCCGCCGCCCACGAGCACGACAAGAGGACCGACATGTTCGCGGCCGAGGAGCCTGAGATCAACAAGGCGGTCGACCCAGCACGACCGCGCGCCATCATCCTCGTCCCCTCCGCCGAACTCGTCGCCCAGGTCGGCGCCGTCGCAAAGTCGCTGTCCCACACGGTCAAGTTCCGCGCTGCCCCAATCTCAGCCAAGATGTCTGCCACGGTCATCCGCAACCAGCTCTTCAACCCCAATGGCGTCGACGTCGTCATCAGCACGCCCCCGCTCCTCGCCAGCATCGCCGAAAGCAACCCAAACATCCTCGCCCGCGTCACCCACCTCATCTGCGACGAGGCAGACTCCCTCTTCGACCGCTCCTTCAAGCAAAGCACCACCGACATCCTCGACCGCGCGACGCCTTCCCTCAAGAAGCTCGTCCTCTGTTCCGCTACCATCCCAAAGTACCTCGACAAATACCTCGCAGACAGGTTCCCGGACATGCAGCGCCTCGTCACACCCAACCTCCACGCCATCCCGCGAAGAGTACAACTAGGTGTCGTAGACGTAAACAAAGACCCCTACCGCGGCAACAAGATGCTGGCCTGCGCCGACACCATATGGCAGATAGGCAAAGCATCCGTCGACTACGACCCCAACGAAGGCAAACAAGCCATTCCCACGAAGCGCGTCCTAGTCTTTGTCAACGAACGCGAAGACACGGAGCAAGTAGCCCAGTACCTCGTCAAGAAGGGCATCGACGCCCTCGCCTTCCACCGCGACACCGATCCCTCCCGCCAAGCCAAGATCCTCAAGTCCTTCACCAACGACGCATCAGCCAAGGAAGCCGAAGACAGCGAAGAGAACAAGGCGGAAGCGCCGAACAAACGCACGCTCCCCAACACCAAGGTCATTGTCACCACTGATCTGGGCTCAAGGGGTATCGACACCGTCTCCGTTCGCCACGTCATCCTCTACGACGTCCCACATACTACCATTGACTTTATCCATCGTCTGGGCCGGACTGGGCGAATGGGCAGGCGAGGAAGGGGCATCGTCTTGCTTGGACCCGGTGACCGAGCGGATGTAGTCAGAGAAGTCAGAGAAGCCATGTTTAGAGGCGAAGCTCTGATTTAGAAAAGATGGATATGCGTAACGACTTCAAAAGCTTCATGTACTATATACTGTTTTCTACTACGAGTACCTGCATCGCAGGAGTGTATCTATGCTTGTCCACGATATAATGACATTGATGAATGTACCGAATCCAGAAACACGAGCTAGTGAGATAACATGATGCCAAAGCGCGGCCTACTACATACGGTGGTCGTTCCCACCAGATCATCGTTATCAGCACGTCCCATGCTATTTCCGTCCTCGCTAACTCATTCGGTCAGCGCCATGGGATGATGCTCTGCAAGCCCACTTGTGGCGTTTTTTCCACTTCAACCCCGCCCGGAAGGGCTCCCGTATGGGGCTCCTTGTTTATCTGCGACTAGCGCCTGCGGGGTTCATCGTTGCTGCATGGCCTGGGTATGTACATAGTGTGTTGTGGTGTGTGTTATTCTTTTTATTTGGTCGTTAGGTTGTTTACTACCTACGCTTACATGCGGCCACCTTTCATTGTGGGGTCTCCGTCATTTCTGGTTTGTTTGTGATGGAGTGGCGCGTGTGATATGACTATTTGGGCCGTGTCGGTTTCTACGCACAACAAACATGTTTGGATGGAAGAGTCTCGGTTGCTAGTATGATGTACAAGTTTTGCCCTCTCGGCTTCATATGTGAGTTTCCCGTCGCCTTGGAAAGTAGATGGTTGGATGTCCCAGACCGTGATAGCAAGATAAGCAGGATAAGTGAGAAAGCATCCGACCCAAACCCGTAAACACCGCATCCCCTCCACAAATTCAAACACCCATGCCCCATCGCAACCCCGACGCAACCCAGTCTCGCACGCGAACATCAAAGATTCCTCGGTCCGCAAAGACTCGTCTTCTCCACCATGAGTTCCAGACTATCTCCGCCCAGTCCACAGGCGTTGAACCTGCTCTTCCAGCACCCACCTCCCTCGTCCGATGGCGACTGAAGTTGAACCACCTTTGCATTGAGCTCTTGAAGGTTTTTTTCCTGAAAGGCCTTGCTCAACGCATCTTTGGGTTCTTTCTCGTGGCTGAGTTGGATTTGAAGGGCGCGAGCTGCGCGGTTCGCGGCGGACAGGGTGGTGTAGATTTCAGGGCGGGTGTGGGCGTGGTAGGCACGGATTGGTTCTTGGGTTGGGGGATCGGGGGAGTCGGTGCCGGCGTCGGATGAGGAGGAAGAGGACGAGTCTTCAGCGTCGGCTTGTGTGATTAGTTTGAAGAGGCGGACAATGTAGCATGTGCTTGAGATGAACGATGTGCCTCTTATTGCCTGTGGGGTCTGGTTTGCGAGTGCGGATACAAGGTCGCGCTGTACCCAGATCTTGAGGTGGGAGGTGTTTGCGGGGTTGTCAAAAGGTGTGATGGAGCCAGTGAGGATGGAGCATCCGTGTTCGTCCCGATTGTTGCTCTTTCCGAAGATAACGTCGTTAAAGAGGGTGGCATTGTTTTGGAACACCTTTTCGGCTTGCGCGTTTGCGTCATCGAGGCTAGTGAAGGGTTGCACGGTGATCTCAGTCGCTGGGAGGGTGCTTTCGACCTGCTCGCCCTGCCAGGTCTTTTGAAAGACGGAATATTCAAAGTAAGGCTGTGCCTCGTTGGAAACATCAGGGAGGCCATTGAGGTGTAGGATCTCCTCATTCGTGTCTATCGTAGTCTCCAAAGGAAGCAGTCCTGGATCGGTTGTTGATACGGGTGGTGTCGCAGCAGTCTTGGTGGCGCTTACGATCGTCTTCGCTGACGAGGTAGGATTCAGATCCTTCATTGGGAGATCATTCCCTTTCTTTACGATCGCGACGTGTTCATCTACAGGATTGACATCAGTGGTCTTGGAAACAGATGATATACCAGTAGTCGCATGGTCTAAACTATCGACGTCCATCAATGTACTGGCTTCCGGTGACTGTTTCGAACCTCCAGGCATCCGAATCATTGAGTCGTTCAACGATTTCTCTATCTGAAGCGTAGAAGCCGCTCCGTGGGGTGCGTCTCCCTTTTTTGCGGGGGAACAAGGCACGTCGCTAGTCTTCGTAGGCACCTCACGCGAAGATGTTCTCGGGGCTACAACTGAGCCAGGGGTAATACCATCCTCTGATGCTGGTGTTGCACTACCTGGACGCTTCGAACCAGTGGTAGAGGTCAGAGTAGGCCTCTTGGATGCCGTACCGGTGATTTGTTCAGGTCCATCGGAAATGATGTCCAATTTTCGCTTTCGAGCTGGTTGTCCAGGAGCTGACGAAGCAGATTTTGAGTTCGCTGTATCCGCCTTGGATCCACTTGGTGTGGATCTCCTGGAATTTGAAGCAGATGTTTGTGCCTGATCCTGTGATCTTTTCGCTGCTTCAGGCCTCGATACCTTCAAAACATCTCCTGGGGAAAGTGAGTGCTTCTCAGGTGCTGCATCGTTCGTAGCGGTATTGTGGTTTTTCCCAGGTCCTTGAGCCGTCTTCCTGAATTTGCTGACTGGAGACGTCGAGATCGGACTTCTTTTGGCAATTCCCAGCTCGTTTCGGCCACTGGTCCGAGCCTTCGGAGATGGCTCACCCGTACCATCATTTCTTGCATCCATTAAAGCCAACTGGAGAAGACTCATAGGCTTAGTAGCAGGTGAGGCCTTGTGACTTGACGCATCATTCCCGTGACTTGGAAGCGTACTTTCATTCAACAGCTTGCGCGGTTGGATTACTGCGCTGGGCGAAGAACCTACAACAGCGGCGCTAGGGGGTAAGGGGTTTGAGCTGATCTGCTTTCGTACACTACCATAGGTTCTGATATTTGCGATAGGTTGCGCAGTCTCTTGGAAGATCGAGGTTGGTTTGCTCTCAGTCGTGGACATCGATGGACCCCTGACTTTAGGCTGTTGATCAAGGCTTTCTGCTGGTTTTGTCTCAGATACCGCAGCGGATCGTTTACCACGGTTTGTATCGCTACTACCGGTCGACTGCACAGGCGCTGAAGGTTGTGGGTTAAGTGGTGCAGTGAGACCCGGAGCAACGGCAGATGCGCGAACTGTTGCGACGGATTGTTGTGCATGCATAGCTAGTCGCTTCTCCTTGGTATTCGTCTTTGTGCCTTTAAATCTTCCCAAAAGCGCGTTAAGACGGTCTTTGTTCAACTGCTTAGTCGGTAGGTTTGTTGAAGTAGACTCAACCCTCAAGCTAGCCGGAAAAGAGTCTGGTTTTTCTGGTCCCCAGGATGGTCTTGGGACGGGTGATCTAGAAAGATTGCCATGCTTGCGGTCATCTTGATCGCTCTCGTCGCTGCCCTCGATATCGCTCTCGTCACTGCTCGTGACAACGAAACCGCCCTTCGTGCATGGGCGCTTCGCGGTGCTGGATGAGGCAAACGGCTCACTCGGACGTCTCTTGGCTGCCATGTTCTTCGTCTTGCCCACTTTGCTATCAGATCTTTTGTGGGTAACTGTTCCCATAACGCGCTTGTGCTGTCGGCGAGAAGTTGAGGTCTGAAGTTGCTTGCGTTTTGCAACCAAGGTTGGTGAAGAGAGCACTTGGCGAGATCGAGGACGGCTGCTTCGAGACTCACTGCTATCGCTTGCCGCAGTCTCAGCAGATTTGTACGCAACAGGCTTCTTGCGCCGGTCTTTCTTAATTAGTGGTATCGGAAGTTTTGCTGGCTCGTCTTCTTCACTTGTTGCATATCCAGCGAGCTGTCCCAGGGATCGAAGGCCTTGGGTAGACACTGCCTTAGTTGTAGAGATTGACGGCAGGGGAAACTTTGGTGGGTGAGAGGTTGGCTGGTGAGCCTTGTCAAGTTTGTCATGAGACAGGTGATTGCGCTCGATAGCAGAGCCCTCATCGACAGGGTCCTTGAACGAGGTGAGAGAACCACGCGTGAGCGCCATTACGGAAGACCGATCTTGCTGACTGTGATCTGCCTGTTCCAAGAGCGACTTCTTCAGTTGAAAGTTCGAAAGAATGGCATCCGACCAAATGAGAGGGAGTGGGTCACATATGGAGAAATCATACGATCGGGCGGTCCGAGAAAGTCTTTCCAGGCTTGCTGTGCCCCGGGGATGTCCTGCGGCGCCAGAGAAAGCGGTACTGTCGGCATCTCCGCTGTCAACGTACGAGGCTCCAGTAAGACTAACAGGCCTTTCATCGGGCGATGGAGTACAAAACAGTGGAGATTCGTTTCGCTCCCCGGTGTGGCGCCTTCCAACATGGGAAATGGCCATGATCAAATAACATCTGGTCGATTTCACCCAATTTACGTGATCACTACAGGGTAACGCTTGTTTTTCACTGGAAGAGTGGGATCTTGTCGTCTCCCAATACCCGACAGAAGCCCAACAAACGCCGAGACGCTTGCACAGCACCTGTCGGGCGGGACATGGCTTTGCTGTCAGGCAACGTTTGGGCCTTTTGAGCGCAAACAGCCATGAACCAGAAAGAAGCAATAGGCGGACCAGGCTGGTCCTATCAGGAGCGATCAGCAAGCTTCCAGCCTCGCCGTGAGGGCCTCGTATCGGATAGCGACTGCCAAGATATGGAAATGTTGTAGGAAGCAAACGGAATGCGCTGTTCAGTTCATTTCCCGGTTTGAAACTCTGTGCCGTACTGGCCGAGAAATCTCATATGCTTCGGAGCGCTATGTGACAAATGTATGCCTAGGTTACTCACGGAAGTGGGCTCGCCTGGATGATGGTAGTCATAAGGCAAGTCGTCCCGATCGAATATCATGCCAAAGAAAGATGATTAACGAGCATCGGTTCAAATCGCTGACTGTAACGCCTTTCGTAGGAGATACCTAGGTAATTGCTTCTTGGATACGAGATGCTAGAAGGCGCGTACCGAACGCGTGTCGAGGGTTAAAGGCGGGGCTGAGGGAGGGCGTTGAAGCAACAACACAGAAAATTCACGCTGAGTGAGTCGGTGTCGACAGTAAACAACGCGAAATTGGATAGTCAGGGCTTCGCAAAGGCGACGACGACGGGCCTCGGCGCGACGCGTGAAAGATCGAAGCGTCAGCGCACCATAAGAGATTCGCAGCTGACTAAGCTAGTGGGTCCACCTCGCGAATCTCCAGCCCTCGTCTTTCTGACCTACTAATTAGAACTGTCGACGCCCGTGCGAGATCGCTAATCTTCAGGGCCATGGCAGAAGGAACCGCACCAGCTGCTGAAGTCCCGGTCTCTGACAAGGCGTTGCGAGATGTGGCCAAGAATGTGGCGAAAATCTTGCCTAATTTCGCGGAGAAAGAGCCTGCAACTGCTCTGAAGTAAGGACGCAAAGTCCGTGAGCTTTGCTTTGTCGATGCCGAACCCCACTAACGTCTGAGTAGAGAGCTTCGTGTTATTCTCGATCCTGCTTTGGAAACTGCAGACCTCCCAGAACTAGAGAACAGCCATCGAGCAGCCGCATCCAATGCCTTGTGCGCAATCATTGAGTACTGCGCGGCTTCCGACTGCGCCTATGCACGGGAGGCGATCCTAGATGATTCCATATGGATGCGAGTATTCAACATATATCTTCAGCGGTCTGGAGATGCAAAGGGCAAGTCGATGAGGCAGATGCTCTTGGTCCTTACGGGTGTCATTACTAAAGATCAGAGTGCGCGTGCAATCGAACTTCGGACACGAGCTACGACCTCATTCCTGGACATTATCTGTGAGCGAGAAGACCGCATCAAAGTTAAACCAGCTTTGCAAGGCCTTGCGCATTTCCTGCTGCGGGATGTAATTTCCATCACGGATTTGGTCAGTCTGTTCGACGAGCAGCTGAAGCGAACATCAGATGCCATCCAGAGGCCGGTAACTTCGCGAACAGTGTTCACATCCTTCCTTGCCTGGGTCGTGCATCATGATACTTCCCTTTCAGCGGGACACTTGATTAAGAACTACTTACTACAGGCTCGCCGTATCACAAACTACGACGAACACCCCGACGATGGCTTAGTCTTACCTCCCTGGATAGAGCCGGTGATGCAGACGTTGCGCGACTGGCCAGACCGGATCCAGGAGTTTAAGACTCACGTCTTCCCTCACTGTTTTCTACCCAATCTCTCTGAGTACCTAAGGTTCCTCGCATATCTCAATTTCGAGTCCCATGTTCCGTATAAGCATGCGTTACCCAGCCAGCTTCGCCAGTCCGGCAGGCGCACATCATCTCTTGGTGGACTAGAAGAGTTCAGAATACTCCTAGCAGCGATCGCAACTGGAAAGGAACTCAACATCGTAAAAGATAATGGTAAGTGGATGTGATTGGCATATATCAATAACAAAGGCACTCGCTCATCTCTGTACTAGATCATAGAGCTCAAAGCACCATCCAAATCCGTGACGGGGCGCTCTATTTGCCGGACGACATATCAGGAGCCTGGATGGCGGACTCGGAACCAGAAGTCAGGCTTGCAGGCATGTTCCTGGGCGTGTATTCTACTTCTGTCACGAAAGCTATGAGTGGCGGTATTTTGCAGGCCTTGAAGCGCAACCTCCCCCATCTTCATACCGACACGGATGCAAATTTCCGCCGGGAGGTGCATGGTTATACACAAAAGCTATTTGATCGTCTGAGAGCTAGTACAGCTACTCTAGCAAAACCCATCACGAAGGTTACTTCTTCAGACCAGAGACGCCTCCCTTTCCCAGCGACAAGCTCTAGCCCACATGTTTCAATTGCGCGGGTTCCGCGACAAGATCCGCTTTCTGAGTCCCTAGCTTTCATCACCTGGTATGTGCAGTTCCTTGAGTGGGAGCTGCGCCCAACTGCCTCTTACCAGAGCCGCATCACCGCACTACGGTCCATCACCATCGTATTACGATCTGGGATAGATCCTGGGGTACCGTTTACCAGTCTCTCAAAGTCTGCGCAAGGTCAGCTAAACTGGGCTCACGGTCTCCAGTTCGGAAACCAGAAGCTGTGCCGAATACTGCTCGATTTAATACTGGATCCTTTTGACGATGTTCGAGACGCGGCTGTATCGGTCTTGCAGCTATGTCTAGTTGCGCTTCCGCAAACCGATAAGAAACGCATCATGTCAATGATTCCCCGATTCGTTACGAGAGCGGAGGCTACCATGCTCCGAACAGGGCGAGCGGATCAAGCGGACGGTGTTGCGCGTGCTTACGGGATGATCTTTGCGTTGGCTGGCGATGATCCAGGTGCCCCCACTGGCGAACACTTCTCTTCCAAGCAGCACCTCTTCGAATATCTGAGAACACAACTCGACGAAACGTTGACTCTGGCCCGCAGCGATCTTCCACGAGCCGTCGATGGTCGACCGGTACATGGTACATTTGCTGCATTACAATATGTGACCGATCAACCCGATTTTTACGCGTTCGTCTCGAGCTTGCCATCTGATCAGTTTGCGCACTGGAAAAAAGCGCATGGGGACATCGTAACAGGCATAGAGAGTCTGTGGTCTTGCGTCTATCACGTTCTGTGTGCGGATGCACCGGAAGGCCATGTTCCTGACGAAGTAGAAGATGAGAGTAGCTTAGACACTAAAGAGATTCTGAGTTACTCATGGAGAGGACTGAAGGAGGCTAGGTATTGATTCCTCGACTACACAGCCGACACTGCTAACTTCATCAGTGTGCTTTTACGAACGATCATCCTCAAAGCTCCTGTAGGTGACGGTGACAACGACCTTGTGACTCCAGAACTCTTCGAAAAGCTCGGCAGACTCTGCTTCACTCAGCTACTGGAGCTTCGTCATCGCGGTGCGTTTTCGACAGTCTCTCAGACATTTGCAGTCTTCTGTCGCCGCTGTGTCTTGTCGAACATATCCACATTACGTGCTTTACCAGAGATGTGGTATCAGGTTTGTACAGCCACCGTCGGCGTGATCTGGAAACTAAAAGTCTCTAGGAAACGCTACGATCCATCCAAGCAAAGTCAGACGCCATCACTCGGAGGTCGGCGGGCATACCAGCAGCCATGTCCGCTCTACTGGCAGCTGAGCCACAAACAGGAGGCAAACTCTTCCCTCGAGCTGTCAAAGATCTTGTCGCCGAAACTCTCGTGGAGGCGCAAAGCACAAATATAGAAGAAAGCCGTCTTCCTCAGGTGCATGCTCTGAACTGCATCAAGGAAATATTCACGACCTCGAAGCTGAGTATTGCATCGGAGACGTACATCGGGCAGGGTCTCGAGCTTGCTGCTAAAACTCTGAGCTCGCCCATGTCAGTGACACTTACACGGACATCACAGTTTCTAAGCTAACGAGTACTCAGATGGCCCCTTCGCAATTGCAGCTTGATGCTGTTCAAAGCTCTGATCGAACGACTACTCGGCAGCGACGAAGCTCAAGACTGGAAAGAACGAGAGCGAGCCAAAACGTCTCGGTTCTCCTACGACAACTATCCCAGTCTCGTGAAGATCCTGGTTGAACTGCTTGAGCCAAGCGGCGATCTCAAAATCATGGAGACACCCGAGAGTGGCAGTTCGCCAATGGATCTCCATGGTGCTGAAGGCGTGTTTCCCGCTCTCCAGATCTTGCGTCAGGCCCGGCCGCCGGGAGATCTTACCAAGATCCGCGGCTTGGTAAGGGACTTATTACCAAGCCCGCATTGGCATATGCGAGATATGGCGGCCAGAACATATGTGTCACTGGGCACTACTAACGAGAGCTACCATGAACTCTCTCCAATTCTAGATACGGTTACCAGCGATCACAATGAACAGCATGGGAGGCTCTTGGTAGTCAAGTATCTGCTGAGGAAGCTGTTGCGAGACGAAAACCAATGCAGTAAGTGGTGTCGTAAGCAGAAACTAAATATTCAGCTGTTGACTTCTGACAGCTTTGCAACACTTCTCATCGTTGATGCAGCAGCTCAGCCAACACGCAACGAGTTGGTACATCTCGAGTGATTGCCCTTTTGTACGAGCCGCCTTCCTCGATGTTGTGAGCCTATGCGGCATGGCCATGCTGCAAAGAGCGACCGCTGTCACAATACTTGGTGCGTGGATTGACCTCACTACGTCCATAGCCATTGGACCGGAGTACAATATCGGACCAAGTGATCACCACGGTGATGATCTACTCAGGACATCCCTCGCACAGGTATACTTCGTTGACCGGATCATTCTGCGTGAAAATTCGCTTCACAGCATGGTGTCGGACGATTATCAAAACATTGACGATGCGCTCATGCTTCTCGCAAACGAGGATCCGGATACCTGCATGGAAGCTCTGGAAGCTCTGGACTCCATATTACAGATGCAGACATCCAACGGACTAACCATTCCATTGTCGCTGGTCCTAGCGCATATCCATCGTGTAGTCCTGGAGGCCTGCGACCCAGAAGTCATCTCGAAAGCGCAAGCCGTTCTCGCCGACGCTCTTACCAAGGACCATTTGAAAAGCGACTTCTTCAGCCTGACGATGCAAGATCAAGTCATGCTCACCTTGACAAGGTTGGAAACACAGTGCGTTCATGGCCCACCATCAAATATGCAAAGCGCCCTGCATCTTCTAGGCTCATTCCTCGACCATGCTTACACCAGCTACTCACTCCACCGTGACGAGGTTCTCGCCCGTATCGCACGCTACATTCGCCTGCTACGCATGACAACCATCGATACCAACCCCTTCGACACTCGCTACGCAGCCATACAATCCCTGTCCGCGCTCAACTCCATCTTCTCCCTGGCCCCCAAAGGAAAAACAGGACCTCTGATCCTTGGGCTAGCCATCGTTCTCTACGACCTCCTCAACGACGATGACGACGAAATACGCGATCTAGCTGCCTCCACAGCAGGCATTCTCCTACGCTCACAGGGCGACCCACTGTTCAAGAACACGGTACCGATACTGACTACGCACCGGCTGGGGGCGTACCTGGTATCTGCATTTTCCACATCACGATTCCTCGCCAAGGAAGCAATACGCCGTCTAACCAACACGCCCTCACCCCATCGTCTCTTCTCCACGCCATTCGCCAACACTTTTGCACGGGAGAGGAAGGAAGATACGTCGCTTTTTGCGCAGGAGAAGCAGAATTTGTACAAAGACGACACATTGGACACTATGCTGTGGTCGCGCATTCTCCTCTCCCTGTCTGCCTCTGCTGTGCCGCTGAGCCTGCGCACCGATCTGACCAACTGGGTACTCGACGGTCTCACCGCACTCACACAAACAGCCGAGGGAGAAGGTGACGGCGCGCTGGGTTGGAGTACCAAAGCTGAGGTGTTTACGCTCGGTATGCGCATCTTCTGTGCGAGTGAAGTGGTGATGAGCTGGGGTGGTCAGGAAAGGGTAGAGGTAGTGAAGAGGGCGAGAGGGTTTGCTGATGTGGGTATTGAGAGAGGCGTTCATGGCCTGTGGATTGAGAGGGTCGAGAGGGTCTTGAACAAGGAAGTGGTGCGCATGCTACGCAGGGTCAAGGGAGGACTGTTGGAGATTGCAGGGTGAGCTAGGCAACGCATAATTGGTGATTCAACACGCCAATCCGACAATGAAAAGTATCTTTTGCGACTGGATGGGATAGAGTTGTATTGGACGTCCACAAAAATGACAACAAGCTCACTACGCGGAAGCTGGAAAAATTCGTACACTACCGCCGATAGAATACATTCACAGCACTCTCCCCCACACTCTTACTTACACTGCCATATTTTGCCTGCCAGGCAAAGAAATAAAGCAGCGCCGCGAGTGGCTGTCCCACGAGACAAAAGCTCATCCAGAAAATCATGTTACCTGCAACCCTCCCCTGGATCCATTTGACCTTTTGGATGACATCTGTGAGCGCAATGAGCGGGATCTGGAACATCATGCCAGCAAAAGCTACGCCAATAATGTTGTGTGTGGGGACGCCGACGAGCAGTTCGTGCAGGACGCCAGAAAAGAGGAAGACGAGGATCTGGGCCAGCGCGGGAGGCACACCGCGGCCGACAAGAGGTGAGTAGATGTGGCGGCGCATAAAGTTGGTCACGGGCTTGTTCCAGGTAGTCCAGTAGGTGCGGATGGACGAGACGTTCCACCAGTCGCCGTAGAACTCTCGGTCGCCGAACCGCATGACTTCGGCAAGCGCATTGAGAGCGGACTGGAAGAGGGCGAAGAAGCCGCACAGCCAGCAGAAGACGCTGATGGTGGATAGCTTCATGACGCGCTCAGCAATGGACGTAAAGTTCAACGTGAGGATCTTGTCGAGCGAGTTCTGCAACAGCGGCGCGGCGTATTGGGCGGAGGCGATCCAGATGACGATGCTGAGACCAGCGAGTTCGGCCAGACGTTTGAGGACAAAGTCCCAGCGGATCGTGTCGGTTCGGGGGTAGACGGGCTGGTAGACGAGGGTGGGTGCCCACCAGAAATAGCACAGGTTCTTCATGTTGATGTTCTGCGGATATGGGCATGCTTTGTAGAGCTCGGGCAGCGGATCGGCCTGCTTGGGGTGCAGGTAGGCATGGCGGAGGTCGCGGTTTGTGAGTGCGTAGGAGGCGCACTTGAGGAAGACGATGACGGCGTGCAGTTCGCAGAGGGTGCCGATGCCCGGGTGGTAGATGTCGTAGTAGACGTACTTGGTCGCGATGTAGAGGTTGGCGACTGCGTTGACGCTGTGGAAAAAGGCGACAATGTACCACGTCGAGTTGAAGCTGCGCAGGGCGGCGGCGTAGCTGGCGGGCGTGTCTTGGTCGCGTTGGTGGGAGATGCGGGCGTAGGCTCGGTTGGCCTGCCAGGCGGCGGCGAGCTCGATCAGGTAGGTGACGAAGAGGTGGGCGGGGACGAGCAGGTAGAGGAGCAGGCCGGTGACGACGTCGGAGCGGCGGTAGTCGTGGCAGGACAGACAGATGAGGACGCCGTACTTCTGCAGGTTCACGATCATCAAGCGCAGGTTGGAGACGACTGCAGTGGTCAGCGATGCGCGGCTACTGCCGGGAGTGGCGGCGTCGTACTCAGGACCAAGATCATGAGGTTCCTGAAGCCGACGAAGCTCGGGATCTTGTCTGCGCTCTCCTGGCTGAGACACGAGGTGCGTGACACGGAGTGCGTCGCAAAGACATGGCGGTACTTGGTGTCGCGCGCACGCTTGGTGGTGCCATTGGGAGTGGGAGCGGTCTTTCCGCGGTACACCGGGGAGCTGGCGTGCTGCATGTCGAGGGCAGAAGAGGCGGCCAGTTGGGTGAGGGTGGCCATGGCGGAGGGTTGGGCGCAATGGCTCGGGCGGAAGCAACTACAGCCAGCGAGGGACGACAGAACGAGGGCGGCGGGGGATTTGTAGTCGGGATAAGCGCGCCATGGCCGAGGGTTCTGGCACAATGGCGATAGAGTTATCAGGGCGTCTCGGGATTCTGTTGGGAGTCTGGTGAGCGGGGATCTGCACGGTGATGCAGCGCGCCCAGGTGTCGAGTGTGGCGCTGTGGCTGGGCTGTGGCCGACGTTCCCACGTCCAACGCGACGAGGCACGCGCTTCCACTGCACACAACACCTGCGCAGCACCCCGACTCACCACCGCGCACCCGACGCGCCCCCCATGGTGATCGAGTAAACGGCGTCTTCGGCAGCAGCACGCCATGGAGCGCGAATACCATCGTCCGGACTTTGAGGGAGGCTTGCGGCCCCGACCAAAACGTCAGTATGCCTGTTCATCATGCGCAGGATTCAAAGACTGACTACAACCACAGGCGCCGTGACCGACTATGGCTCAACGACCGTCCAGTGGATGCGCAACCGCCGCCCGCGCTACAAGAATGCGCCCGCGCCAGAGATGGAGCGGCCGAGCGCCAGCTACATCGTCGACATGCAGCCGCCCGCAGCACGTGTCGCCAGCGCCGCCGAGTCGATACCTGCCAAAGCCGTGCATTCGTCTCTGAACAAGGTCAAGCACCCCATCAACGTCGTCAAGTGGACGCCAGAGGGCCGCCGCCTGCTCACAGGCTCCACCAGCGGCGAGTTCACGCTGTGGAACGGCATGGGCTTCAACTTCGAGACCATTATGCAGGCCCACGAGGCTGCCATCCGCGCCGTCGAATACACATCCACCGACGACTGGCTCCTGTCAGCCGACCAGACCGGTGTCGTCAAGTACTGGCAGACCAACTTCAACAACGTCAAAGAGATTCAGGCCCACACCGAAGCTGTGCGAGGCCTGTCCATCGCGCCGACCGACACCAAATTCGTCACATGCGCCGACGACACCACGCTCAAGATCTGGGACTTTGCGTCGAGTACAGAAGAGTCGACGTTGACAGGACACGGGTGGGAGGTCAAGTCGGTCGACTGGCATCCGCACAAGGGACTGCTAGTATCAGGGTCCAAGGACCACCAGGTCAAGTTCTGGGACCCGCGCACAGGGCGCTGTCTGACGACGCTTCATGGACATAAAAACCCAATATCAAAAACCATGTTCGAGCCTGTCCAAGGAAACATGCTAGCAACATGCGCCCGTGACCACACAGCCCGCATCTTTGATCTCCGAATGATGCGCGACGTCTTACTGCTCAAGGGACATGAGAAGGACATCATCACCATGGCATGGCATCCCATGCACAAGAACCTGTTGTCTACCGGCGGCGTCGATGGTAGCATACACCACTATCTCCTCGACGAGCAGAACCCTCCCGCCGGCGTCGCACCCTCGATATCGCCCTACGACGCCGCCGACTCGCAAAACGCCCCCTCACAAACCATATACCCCGCGCACAGCCTGCAATATGCTCACGACTTCACTGTCTGGACCATGGACTGGCATCCGTTAGGCCACATCCTCGCCTCCGGCTCCAACGATAGGGTCACGCGCTTCTGGACGCGTCCACGGCCAGGCGACACCAACTACGTCAACGACCGTTACCACATTGGCCAAGCAGCAGCAGAGGCGCAAGGCACGTTCGACCGCGGTCAGGGCAGGCGGCAAAAGATGGAAGAAGAAGAGCAGGAGGCAGAAGACGAGGCCGAAGGTTTGGTCGACCAGAAGATGCCTTCAAAGAACCCAGGCGGTGGCTTCCTCCCACCTGGTCTTTCGCTGCCAGGACTCAACACAGCACCAGATGGCACTTCGAGTTCTCTACCGGGTATTGGGGGCACAAATCATCCACCAATCCCACCCCCACCAGGCGGTATGCCCTTTCCACCCCCACCAAATGCGGGCGGGGCGCCTATTCCTCCTTTCAACGGTATGGACCCCTCCCGCCTTGCACAACTCATCGCATCTGGCTCCCTACCACCCCCTCCTATACCCCATGGCCACGGACCTCCTCCACCAAACGCCAACGGAGCCTCTCCTTTTCCACCACCAAACTTTCCTGGCTTTCCACAAGGCATGCCGCCTGGTATGCCACCACTTCCTCCAGGCATGCCGCCTCCCGGATTCCCGGGCTTCCCTCCACCACCTGGCGGTATGGGTGCGCCGCCACCGGGATGGCCTGGTCCGCCCCCGCCGCCACAACAACAGCAAGGGTTTGCGGGTGGGCAGGGTGGAACTGCGGGTGTAGGTGCAGATGGTATCAGGAGAAGAGCGCCGTTACCGGATCAGCAGGATGCTTTGAAGGCAGAAATGAATCAGGGACGGTACAGAAAAGCAAGGTAGACGTATTTGGCGTTAGCGTTGACACAGGAATGTACGATCAAATCAAGTTGGAAGTCAGTGAGCGTTTGTGTTACGATAAAGGACAGGGAGTGACAAGTAAAAGGTGCAGTACTAGTCCCTTTTCTTCTCCAGGAATACCCAGATTGGCCATCTACATTTGCGCTTTCGTACTGCTTGTGTGATTCAAGACTCTTCATGTACACCTTCGTGGCCTCTACGCTCTCTACATATCCTCCACCAACCCAGGATCCTCCATGTCCTTGACGAACTCCACCTTGGCCACATCCTTCAACTCTACATCTCCCTTCACCACCCTTTCCCCATGATTCCACAACTCATCCAGAAAAGCCGGAACAAAAGTCCCCGGGCCTCTGACATCCTCCCTCTGCGCCGCAACCTCTGCCGCAATCTCATAATGCAGCAAACCCGCGACAGCAGCCAAGAGCTTATCCTCACGGTACGCAGCCAGATACGCAGATAACGTGGTACCCAACGTGCACCCACTGCCCGTGATCCTCCCCAGATACTCATGTCCATTCGCCACCGCATACGTGCGCGCGCCATCCGAAACAAGATCCGTAGCCCCCGTCATAAGCACAACCGTGCGTTCGCGAGCCGCAAGCCGGGAAACGATATGCGCCCTTTGGGGCAGCGAGAAGAGTGAAGCACCAGAGTCCACACCTCGCTGTTGCTGACTCGAACTATCAAGCGTATACCCACTCGCACGTGCAACGGCGAGAATCTCGCTCTCGTTCCCTTTGATCAAGTCGAAATACCCGGCGCCGAGGAGCTGGGCTAGAGCGTCTCGTCGTACACTTGTTGCGCCGGCGCCCACGGGATCGAGGATGATGGGTCCGCCGGCGGCGTTGTACGCGTTGATGGCTTGTTGGTAGTTTGCCAGTCCATCGGGTGTCACGGTGCCCATGTTTACTACCAGCGCGCCACCTAGTTTAGACAGGTCGGAGGCTTCGGCGCCGTAGTTTGCCATTATGGGGCTTGCGCCTACGCAGAGGGCGACGTTTGCGGCAAAGTTTTGGACAACGAGGTTCGTCATGTTGTGGGAGAGGGGGTTCATTCCTTTTACCTTTTTGGTTGCTGAGATGGCGGCTTTGAGGACAGAGGTTATTTCGTCGCGGGGGTTTTGGTGGTAGAAGTGTGGGAGTGGGGATTGGGGGGCAAAGGGCGGAGCTGTCTTGAGGAGATGGGTGAGGTGCGAAGATGCGCCTTTGGGGTCTTGAGCCCCGATTATGGCAGATACGATGGCAACGCCGTTGATGGTCTTGGGGTTTGCGTTGGCGGGAGTTGGGGCAAAGAGTTGGTATATTATGCGTTGGGTGTTTGAGGCGTTGATGCCGCCGATGCATACTGTTTTGACTTTGTTCTCCGCTTCGGTGCCTTGATCGAGATAGTGCAGTATCTTCCTTGTTCCGGTGATGCCGATGATGTCTTTGGTGTTCTTTTTGGTATTCGTGGCATACATCGTGCCGATGCCCAGGTAATCTGCTCCTTGCTCGACGGCTGTGCGCGCTTCCTGGATGGACGAGACGGTGACGCCGATGATTTTGTCTTCGCCTAGGATACGGCGGGCCTCGTGGGCGTTCATGTCATCTTGGCCAATGTGGACGCCCTCACAGCCCACTGCGAGGGCGACGTCTACGCGGTCGTTGATGAGCAGAGGGACGTTGTGTGCCTTGCATTTTTCGTGGAGCTTTTTTGCTGTCGCGACGAGGATGCTGGTGTCGGAGGTTTTGTCTCTGTATTGGACGATGGTGACACCTGCACATGTCGATCAACATCGTGGTATGTTGTATTACGGCTGACTAACCTCCTAGTAACGCCTGCTCAACCACGTCGACCAGGTCTCGGTTCCCGAGGATGGCCTCTGTAGAGTCTGTCACGAGATACAGCGAGTAGTCTACTTCCTGCCTAGTCATCTTGGCAAGTCGGCGTGCAGCTGGGGCAGAATGCTCGAGCTCGTCGTCGTTGAATGGGGGATGTTCGAAAAGCAACTAGCAGGTGTGACGCAATCTAGGCGCGGCTCGCCAAAGTCTGCGGCTGGTTTTGCAGGACCTGGTAGCGAGTGTCGACGTACTAAGCCACACAGGCTGCTGCGAGCCTTGGACCTGTTCAACGACGACTGCTGGGCGACCAACACGCTGGCCCACGTTGCTAGATGCGACATGGCTGGTGGTGTTTGCCGCGAGATGCGGGGCGTTCAGGGTGGATACAGGCCACATAGCAACTGCCAAACGCTTCCCCGGTTGCCTGCATGTATCGATGAAAGCACCGCAGAGCTGTTTGATGTCCCGCCGTTTGTGTAGACGGCCAGACGCTTTGTCCGTCGCCATGTGCAAGTGACAAAGCCAGGCAGCGCACGACGGCCTGAGTCAGGGCGGGGCTGATGGGGGCGTTTGGTATGCACGGTAGAACGCTCTGCTAGCGTGGCTCGGCAAGTTCGAAAAACTAAAGGCCGCGACCCCATATAACTTCCCTCGACCACCCGCAGCCCGCACACACTCCCCTTGGAACCAGCCAAAATCCATCCGTCGACCTCGCCCACACCAGTGACTGCCACTGGCAACAGCACCCGCCCACTCTGCCCTATCCGCCCAACCGCCTGCTCGTCGCCCGCCCGCGACCTGCCTGAACCGCCACCTCGACGTCCGCCTCCAGGCCCCAAGCACCAACCGCACCTCAGAGTCGCCCACGACAACAGGAGTATATGTATTCGCGCCAACGCTACGCCTTCCGAGTCGAACCTCCCCCCAAACTGCAAAAATTTCGCTGTATGCGGATACCAAGCAGCATCATCCACCAAACCAACGGCTAATCCACTGCCCCTCCTGACCCCGAGTCGCACACACACACCCAACCCACACGTACTAGAGACTGCTTCTGCGCATGTCTCTTTCGGCCCTCGTCAACATAGCTGATCCGACCCCGTTCGCCCGCCCGCCGCACCACCATTAACCACCCCCTCGCCCAGTCCCCGCACCACCGTCGCCATGGCTACCGTCAACATCCGCCGCGATGTCACCGACCCCTTCTACCGCTACAAGATGGAGCGCATCCAGTCCAAGATTGAAGGCAAGGGCAACGGCATCAAGACCGTCATTGTCAACCTGAGCAGCGTCGCTCAGTCCCTCGCCCGCCCGCCCGCTCACGTCATCAAGTACTTTGGCTTCGAGCTGGGCGCCCAGACCAACACGAGCCCCAACGACGACCGTTGGATCATCAACGGCGCCCACGACGCCAGCAAGCTCCAGGACTACCTCGACGGTTTCATCTCCAAGTTCGTCCTCTGCAAGAAGTGCAAGAACCCCGAGACCGACGTGCACATCAAAGATGGCAACATCACGCTCGACTGCAAGGCTTGCGGAAAGATTTCCGACGTAGACCCCCGCCTCAAGCTCAGCTCCTTCATCCTGAAGAACGAACCCAAGAAGGGCAAGAAGGACAAGTCCAGCAAGAAGGCTGAGCGCCGTGCCCGCAAGGAGGCTGAAGCCCGCGGCGAGGCTACCTCCCCCGACGGCGGCAGTCCCGGTGACAGCGCTGAGGAGAACGGTGACGATGGTGACATGGCACTCGAGGCCGGCAGCGACGACGAGCTGACCCGCCAGATCAACGAGGGCGCCAAGGAGATTGACGAGGAGGATGCCAAGGAAGTTGAGTGGTCCATCGACACCTCGGAGGCCGCCATCAGGGCTCGTGCCCAGGACCTTCCCGACGACCTCAAGCGTGCCCTTGTCATTGAGGATGACGACGAGGGCGGCTCCAGCTACGACACTTTCGGCAAGTGGATCATCGACACTGGCGCGGAGAAGGGCGGTGTTGAGAAGCTTGACAACGTCGACATCTACGTCAAGGCCAAAGAGCTCGGCATCGAAACCAAGCACCGCACACTTACCGTCATTCCCCAGACCCTCTTCACCGAGAAGATCGTCAAGCAGATGGATGGCCGTGCTCCCATGCTCAAGAAGATGATCACCTCGGACAAGCATGAGAAGGCTTTCCTTGGTGGCATTGAGCGCTTTGTCGGCAACGACAAGCCCGAGCTCATCCCTCAGGTCTCGGCCATCCTGTTGAAGGTGTACGAGAACGACCTCGTCTCGGAAGACCAGCTCAAGGGTTGGTGCTCCAAGGCCAGCAAAAAGTATGTCGACCTCAAGGTCAGCAAGTCTGTCCGCAAGTCGGCCGAGCAGTTCAAGGAGTGGCTTGAGAATGCGGACAGCGACGACGAGGACTCCGAATAGAACCTCGACTGCAGCGACACGTGCATGGTAATAGTACGCGGAATGTCCAACTGTTGTCAGTCATTACCTTTGGTCTTGCTTGTCTTGTTTTGATTTGTTTTAGACGGCGTGTAGGTAACTCTACTCCTGTTTCCGACACACGTTTGGGCCAGTCGCGATGACAGCCTCGTATTCTTCTCCCCTCTAGATAGCCTACTAAAGAAACTTTGCTCTCGCACCACCTCGCTTCAGTGTCCTGCATTGCTCTACACGAGCCCCACTTGCCGTTCGCCGTTATCATTTCCTTCCACCAGGTGCTCGGGCCCATCACTACTATGCGCCCGAAGTTTCTGCATGCACTGTGGCGAGCGCATTGGATTTGTGACAGTAGTTCCATCCGGGCTCGTGGATGCAGCTGCATGCCCCACCCCAATGATCGATCTTCGCTAAAGCCATGCAATCTCACCACGTAGTCTTGCCTCCGGTCCATTCACGATCAAATCCCTCAGCCTTTTTCACATTCAGCATGCACGATAACGCACGAAAAAGCAACATCGGGATTCGCCTAGTCTCAGCACGCGTGCATCGACATGCTCTCGCACCGGCCATCTCCACAAGGGTACATTAGTCTCCGAGGCTTAACCCCACCCAGGCAAGAACAAGCGGAGCTCCCATGCTCTGGACAGCAGGCCATGCACACTTTTTTCACCACCGCGCATGGTGGCCGGAGCGAGGGACGCGACTGGCGAGAACGAACGAGGGCAGCCCTCGTTGTTTAAAATGTGGCGGACCCCCACTTGGGGGATGAGTTGCAACCTCTCGCAGCCGCCAAATCGTACGCAACTGTACACCACCGTGAGCGACTTCTGGAGTTTTGCGCTCACGTCAATTGCGAAAAGCTCCACTTCACCACGCCGAGTCTCACGATCTTGCCGACAGGCTTTCGATAGCAGTGCCAAGCCTGTGCGCTCAGTTCCCGCGCTTTCGAACCCTCCAGGATCAAGAGAGCGGTCATGAATCCGATTCAAGCTTACCCTGCTGAGGGCGTGGTCGTTCAAGATGCTCATCACGGCCACTACGCGCCCGAGGCAGCTCATGACAAAACCGGTGCTGGCACATATGTGACATCTGAGAATGAGTCGCATAACGGTGCGGCCGGGAATGAGGTTCTAGAACGCGATGCGCAGACCAAAGGACGCTGGTTCCAATACCTCAAGACCAAACAATTCTGGATCACATTGGTCCTTGGGCAGGGTATGCACCAAACACACTATTACTGGATGTTCGAAATGTAGACTAACAAGGTATTACTTCCAGTCCTCGCTCTCTGCATCACCGGTACAAATACATTATCGTCTCTGCTCGCGGAAGAGGGTACATCGATACCCGCCTTCCAGTCCTTCTTCAACTACGTCCTCCTCAACATAATCTACACATCGTATACCCTCTACAAGTACGGCTTCAAGAAATGGGGGCGAGTCGTCATAAAAGACGGCTGGCGGTTCTTTATCCTCGCCTTCATGGATGTCGAGGGCAACTATTTCATCGTTCTGGCGTATCGTTACGTAGGTTCTTGTCCATTCTCTCGTGTAGACTTGCATGCTGACACACGACTAGACCACCATCCTCAGCGCCCAATTGATCAACTTCTGGGCCATCGCCGTTGTCGTAATAATTTCCTTCTTCTTCCTCAAGGTCCGCTACCACTACACGCAAATTTTCGGCATCTTTCTGTGCATCGGCGGTCTAGGCGTAATCTTCGGCTCTGATCACATCACCGGTACCAACAACTTTGGCGCTACGGACCAAGTCAAGGGCGATCTTTTTGCGCTTCTAGGCGCCACATTCTACGGTCTGTCCAACGTATTTGAAGAGTGGTTGGTTTCCGAACGGCCGCTGTATGAGGTTGTTGGCCAACTTGCTTTCTGGGGCATGTTCATCAACGGTACGCAAGCGGGTATCTTCGACCGCGCCGCCTTCCGCAGTGCGACTTGGAACGCCAAGGTTGGAGGCTACCTCACCGGATACACACTCATCCTTTCCCTCTTCTACTCCCTTGCACCGGTCCTGTTCCGTCTCAGCTCCGCTGCATTTTTCAACATCTCCCTTCTCACAGGAAGCTTCTGGGGTGTGGCGATTGGCGTCAAGGTCTTCGGACTGAACATTCACTGGATGTACCCCATCGCCTTTGTCCTCATTATTATTGGACAGGTGATCTACTTTCTGCGACAGAGTATGGTTGGTGAGGCGCTGAAGCCATGGTTGGGCAAGGATCAGGAAAGAGGCCATGCAGGTGTGGGTACGGCGAAGAAGAGGGTCGAGAGGCCTGAGGCTATTGTCTAGGAGTAGATGTTACGATGGCAACGCTAAAGTGATGATGTCGGCTTTGTTTATAAGATCAACTAAACACACGAACCCTAGTGAAAGACTCTGATAGCAAATGCTGGTCTTCTTAGTCGTCTCCATTGGCGAAGAAGACATGTAAACTCAATGTCTCAACCAGTTTAGTTGCTACGGAATGAGCATCCTCCGTTCGTACCACCCTTGTCTATCAGCCCATTCTATCGACCAGTTGCGATGCGCAGTGAAAGATTCCGTTGTGATGACGAATTAGCCGTGGTCTAATTGCGCAGCACACTTGACCCTGAGGTTCTGCTCAGGATCCCTTGATGACGTAGCTCCAATCGGGTATAATTGGTGAAAAGAGCCTATCTGGAATACGAATTGAAGCCAGTCGTTGCTTCAGGCTGACTAGCAAGGCATATAGGCCACACGGAAATGCGTGTGAGTTGTCCATCAAACTCGCTCTTATACAGTAAGACTAGAAGCTCGTGCGTAAGGGAAATGCTAAGCCACCGCGCTTCTCAACAACGACCAGTTTTCCTTTCTCACAAGTCCAAGAACTCGCCGATTTCTCTTTCTGCCGATTGGAAAAGCCGGAACCTGATTTCAAGAATGAGGGAAAGGAAGACGCCAGCCTCGACCCAGAATGCAAAAGTCGCAAAGTTCTTCCATGCAGTCCAACAAATGACATACGCGGTTGTTATGCCGAAGCCAGCAATGGCTGCGCTTGCAATCGGGGTTGTTGATAACCAGCCCTTTTCCGAAGCTGTCAAGATGAGATAACTGACTGCGAATGCTTCTAGCGGCAAAAACGCCATGACTAGGCACGTGAAGTCGTCGTTGGCTGGTAACGAGGGTGACACGTAGGCAATGGCGCCTGTTATGATCCAGCAGGCTAGATTTCCTGTAAATGCAAGAAGCATGGTACCGGCAGTCGGTTTGTGTGGAGATTCGTGTATGCGATGCGTTTGAGATCCGGCTGCGCCGTCTGCCTTGGTTGTAGTTGGAGGGCCTGCAACTTTTACATTGCTCATGGTGACGGAAAATGGTGAACTGTTTCTTTGAGAGGTTACGCTTGAATTTGCTTTACAGCGATTCGTTTTACGGTCTTTGGGACTTTCTTGGTTTGAATTTGCATGTAAGATGACGAACGCCAGGCCGTCACGTTCGTCTGGGTCGGATCGCACGGCATATCAGCAAATCAAAGGCATCGTTCTTCAATCTCAGATTCTTGAATTCGGCCTCTGAGTAATGTCACATGTGCACGAACACATTTAGTGACTGTACTGCGTTTGCGTGGAGCAGAGGCAGTTGAAGCTCTTGCCTAGGTAGTATTCGTTACTAGCCTGTCTTGGCTGACGCCACTTATCACCTGCACCAGCCACTTTCCAACCTTACTTCATCTATACTCTTCCTCAGCAAGCATTAAACCATCCTGCTCTATCCGTGGCAGCTCTCAACCTAAATATATACAAATCTCGCAGATCATGTCTTCGCGCGGTCTTCCCGACGTCTTGATGCAAAAGGTCGACGATTATGTCGATTCGCTGGCGCCCCAGATCCAGCCCCGCATCGCCTCCGAACTTGAAGTCTTCCAACAAAAGACTATCGACAGCCTGGAAACCCAGGTCGTAGACGCTTTTCGTTCACTGTTCGGTAAAGACAGGCCGTCTTCGTCGGATGGCAGCCGATCGGGCCCTTGGAATCTCAATGACGCAGCACCCGACGCCTATGGTGGACAGTCATTGCCTTTTGCGGATGAAATCGCCAAGTTGACGCGTAGCTTCGGTCAGATTTCTGATGAAGCGGGCGGGGATTTGCGCGATATATTCGATCTTACGGAGGGGAACCGAGGAGGCCCAGAGCAGTCTCGATCCGTAGACGGGGATTTCTCGTCTGGAGCTCGAGGTTTCCTTTCATCGGCTCTGAATGTCGTGCAAGATCATTTCGACGAAAGAGGGTCAAAGGGTGGTCAGTCCTTTGAGATTGGGGGTCTCCTCGGCATGATCAGTAGCACAATCAAGGACGCATCTCAGAACCCCGAGGAGAAGGCGAGACTTATCAGCCCAGAGATCAAGCAGACAGTTGGTGACAAGTTACGTCAACAGCACGCGCCTCTCGCTGAGCAGTTTACCCGCATAGCCCTGGAACACATCAAGCGCTGGCTTCGTGGAAACACAAGCACGCGTGACTTGGGTGATGGTGCGAAAGCCGAAATTGCCGAACAGGTGGGCGACCTGGTAAAGGGCCTTGGAAATTTGTTCGGGAGCAAAAAGAGCAGCAATGAGGAGACTTCGAGAGGCTTTGATGACTCTAGTCGTGATGGCGAGAGCAGTAGTGGTGGAGGCTTCTCCCGCGTCATCAGTGACAAGCTCAGCACGGGTCTCGCCAAAGTCCACCGAGAAGTGAGTAATATCCCTCCACGAGATTTGTGTGAGAAAAATACTGACATGACACACCCATCTTTAGGTTCGCTTGGAGTTCCGCAAGATCCTCGGAGCAATCGAGAAACAACTATTCGAATTGTTACCTGATCAATTCCAACGTCCGCTCGAGAAGATACTAGGTGGAAATCCTTTCGATTCACAGCTCGACCGCGATGCGTCCGGTCCAGCAGATCGCGGATTTGGAGATGACATCAAGTCCAAATTGCTCTCCAAGATCCGTGCTTTGGTACAAAAGGTACAAGAGACACTTCGAGAAAGCATACTGGGTGTAGTCAATGGTGGTCATCGCAAGTTTGAGCGTCAGAGCTGGGTCTTCGTGCAGGGCATGGTAGAACAGAAAGTACAAAGGTACCTGCCTGACGTTAAGATCAACGTTCCAGACGACATCGGAAACGAGAACGTAAGCGTCGGATCCCCGACTGCGAACACAAGCATGGGGGGAGGGTACCAACCTCCGTCACAACCGCCACACGGTGACCATGGTCCACCCCCCACGTCTGGCAGTTACAGTGGACAAGAACATGTGCCGCAGGGATACAACAACCCCCCACAGTACCAGAGCCATGACCAATACCGAGAGGAGCCTAGACGCGAGTACCAAGATCACCAGGCGTCACAATACCCACCACCGCCTCAAGACTATCGACCCGAGCATCACGGGCCACCTCATGAAGGCTACGCTCCTCAGCAATATCAACCGCCTCAACATCACCGCCCTGAATCATATCCATCTCAGGACTACCGATATGAGCACCATGCCCCACCTACACAGGGTTACCATCAAGGACCTCCAGACTATCGTTCGGAGCAGTACCCACCATCCCAACAAGGCTACCCTCAACAAGAGTATTCTCAGCGTGACTACCGCGGTGACGGGTATCGGAGGCAGGACTATTAAAAGAGTCGCGTAGGGGCACTAAACCATGTCAAGCGTAAAAGGTACAGGTGTCAGCTTGCGCGACTTCTTCCACGACCATACCTACGATTAGATAGAAATCAACTATAAAGCCATCGTTGACTTCCCGTCTGTAGCTCCCGGGCAGATGTATGTAAGCGTAAGATGTATGACTAGGACTGCAATATCTTTTCGGTAATCGTAAAAGCCGAATTCCGGCTGAAGATTCCTGGATTACGTCGCAGATACGATTACTATAATAACTAAGCGCTACCGACAACTCCATAAATGCAGGCCCAAAGAGATCCGTGGTATCATATATCTGTTCCTCCCAACAACCCGTACGCCTGAATGATCCGTCCCTTGTAATCCCCTTATGAGGACGATGACGCAGAATCTTCACCAGAGGGCGAAAGCGAGGCTCCACCGGCCCGAAGAGCTTTCAGCGCAACGTCAACTTCAGTGGTCGCCATCTTCTGCCATTTCTCCCGCGTGCCTTGATCCGCCAACGCATCAGCACCAGCTTCACCAACCTTTTCGTATAGCAAACGTGATACGTCGCGATTGACGTCGGTATACTCCTGTTTCGTGACTTCTTTCTTCAGGTAAATGGGTTTTAACACAGCTGTAACCATGCGCTGCAGTTCAGCTTTGGTAGAATACGAGAGGGTCGGCCGGCTAGGCGACGAGTCCTTCGAGCGAGGGGGGCTGCTGAGGCCGACAGAGCGATGCGCGAGTGTGCGACGTCCGGGGCGGTCGTCGTCTGCAGGGGAATACGGCGAGTAGGTTGGCGACAATTGCTGGTCCTGTTGTACAGGTGATGTGGTGCGAGTAAGATTAAGAGGCGGCGGTGTGGACATGCCGGGAGGTTTCTGGTAGACCGGCGACAGACCTGGGGAGGAATGTTGGGGAGAACAAGCGCGCTCCACGATGATGCGCCGGGGCTGTGGGGCGGCGATCTCCTTGTCGCGCTCGGCAAACCGGTCGACCTCGACCTCCTGAAGCAACGATTGCAGAAAACCAGGCGCGGGAGTTGAACTCTCACCGGTTGGAACTGCAGGGGGCGATGATGCAGCAGCAGCAGGAGCGTGCGTGCTAGCCACCGTGTTGCGGCGTGCGGCTGCCGATGATGACTCTCCGTTGTCCAGGTGCATACGGGTTCGAGGGCGCTTGAGCTTGCGTTCTGGCTTCTGCTCGCGAGGCTCAGAATCGGCAGGAGAGGAGTCGATGGACTTGCGTTTGCGGCCTCTTCGGCTACTGGTACTCGCTACGCTGGGGGCAGGACGTGCGTCACCTTGGGCTAGCTGCTCGCGCGCCTTCTCGAATTGGTTCCACGCCCGCAGTTCTTCCTGTGACTCTGGATCTTTTGGTGTCTTTGGTGGCTCGCGATGAAGCGTTCGATTCGTGGGTCGTGTAGCGGCGTTGGAGTTGCGGCGTCGACCGGTTACAACATTGTCAGTGGCGATTTGGAAGCGAGTGCCGGCTCCGGCCTGTCGTGCGACTCGCATGCGCTGCTCCCATCTACGGTCATCGCGTCGCGTGGCATCTGACTGGTTCTCAGACTGTTCTTCCTCGTCAAAGGGGAACTCGATGTCAAACTGCAATCGGTCCCAGACGCTCTGCCAGACGCCCACCCATTCGTCAGGGGCATGATTGTGACGCGGCACACGGCTCCGGCCGTTGATCCAGGCAGCGGGACCTCGTACTGCAGGTCGTCGTCGGGACGCGGCTTCCAGCAGACTAGGATTCTCAACACAGCCCTGGCAATACCAGGGCCCGCGAGATGGCATCCGGTCGAGTCCAGCACAGAAGACATGGCAGAGTTGTTCGCAGCTATGGCAGTACATGAGCTGCGATGCGTCGCCGAATTCATCACAGACCATGCATGCATCGTAGCTTCCGTCATCCTCCAGTATGTAGTCGTCGTCGATGATCATGGACGGATCGATATCGGCGACTTGCTGCTTGTCTTGCACGGCGTACTCGGATAGTTTGGGTCCTGGTGAGTTGTTAGTCGAAATTCCATGTCGACAGAGCCACCTTGTGCGGCAAGACATTGTAGGTTTGGGTAGAGGTCATGCTGAGCTTGACTGACCATTTAGCCAGTAGCTAGGCTACTATCAGCCAACAATAGCAGCGCCACAACCGCAGGGCTCCGTAGCATCCAGGACTGACATACCTCCAACGCGCGCGCTGAGCTCGACCATGTTGAAACTGGCTCGACATATAGGGCAACTGTTCGCTCGTTCGACCCAGGGCTTGAGACACTCGTTGTGCAGATCGTGGCCGCATGGCAGTAAATGTGCGACCAAATCGTCCTCCTTGGTAGACTCTACGGCCGCCATCTTATCCTTGGCATGTGATTGGAGGTCGACATCAGCGCCATCCTCAAGCGGCTTGGTCGCCAGCGATGATGCGGTGGCGGTAGGGCCGTCGTCGAGGGGGACGAGATCGCCGAGGCAGACTATACACGTCTCGGCCATTGGTGTGATGCTTGGAAGTAAAAGAGCGGAAGTACTCGTCGACGCGATTCATAAGTTGGGAAGATGATCAAGTCGAGAGAGCGGGGACTGTGGTTTAAGTAGCGGACGCTAGTGGCTTGGCCTGCAGCCACACTCCTAGGCAGTCGCAACCAACCCCGGAAACCCGTGATGTTTGCCAGGAAGAGGATGCCCAAGTGGAGACTAGTGGCGCCTTTGGTAGTGTAGAATGCGTGACGAGATCCAAAGCTGCTGCGGGCGGGCAGATGCTAGATGATCAGTCATTCTTCGCGCTTACCTTACCACGTGTTCGGGACCCGAAGGAGCAGTCCGGATGACTTGCGATGTCACCGAGTGGTTACCTATGGTGTAAATATGTTTCAGTTCAACCGCTTCGCTATCTCTTCAACTCTTGATTGTGTCAGATGCGCTTAGCCTCAAGGTGCTCGCATCGGTTTCCGTCTCGCGTCGATGGGGCATTCTGAAGTGGCAAGGCCGCGCATACAAGGCCGGACGGACTGGAGATCTGGACAATCTTATCTTCGCGAGAAGACGTCACTATGGAATGCACTGATAAGATAAACGACAGCTGCTGAATCTGGTGTTGATGGGCCGAACAATGTGTCTGCAGCGCAAGCTCCCTCGGCGTATGGTGACGTGCAGCGCTACCAATGCCAGCCCTTGTATATTCGATACTGCGTTGGAAGACGACTCGAAAGTTCCGCCTTTGTATGGACAAAGTAAAGCAATGTAACGGGTCTTGTATTTCTACGTGTAGCGCCTCGGGCGACCTTGTAGGCGCCGGACGAGGATACCGCGCGACGCGGGCGATGTGAGTTCGCGGTATGTTTGCGGCGGCTTCTTGCATGTAGCTACCATCATCTTGAATCCTGCTGTCAGGTCTTCCTGTGAGATTTGCATATTAGCGACACTGCGAGAAACGTGGGTGTCGCAGAAAGCAGACCGCTTCATCTGCACTGTCGCGCTCCTCCACCAGGCTTCTCTGCCTTCATTGCCCGATCCAGAGAGATGACTCAGTCGTGCGATTGGAGTACAACAGCTTGTGTGGAGGCCGAAAAGCCATTCAAGGATAGCGGTGAGGAATACAATTCATCGGCGTGGAGGGGCATTGCTCAAATTCAGCGTCTGTTGCCAAGGCGCTTAGAATATTTCGAGAATAGTGCATGTCCACATCGTGATCTATCCATGTAAAGGCTTACTCTGTACGTAGTATCGTTAGCTGGCGATCATTTTGATCTTGAACTGTATTGTAGTGCAACACTCGCGATGCGGCCTTCCTTCTTATGAGGTGTACTGCGAGCGGTGCAGATATTGTATCTACCGCGCACGCCGGCGCCTGCCTCGGCATGACCGCAGGCATCCAAAAGAAGGGTCTTGTCCGAGTCGCGTAGTATTCAATGATTAGGAATTTCCCCTAGCTGCACCCCGATTGACGTTTTCCTGTCTCCTCGTCTCTTCTTTGCTCAATCACACACCCTCATCAGGATGGCTCAAGAATCGCGACAATATGAGCTGATCTTGCTGGGAGCAACCGGATATACCGGAAAACTCGTTGCGGAATGGGTGACTACCCATCTGCCGGATGATCTCAAGTGGGCTGTTGCTGGACGCAATGCGAAGAAACTGCAAGCTGTAGTCGACGAATTGACGAAGCTAAAGCCAGATCGCAAGCAGCCAGGTATGTGGCGACAGAATCTGCGTTACAAACATGTGGCGGACAAAATCTGAGACGGGTCAGCTAACGAGACCTAGCTATCGAGACATGCGAGCTTGAGCGCCAACAGCTAGAAACGCTTGTTAAGAAGACAAAGCTCATCATCACGACGGTGGGCCCCTTCATGCACTATGGCGAGCCTGTCCTTGCCGCCTGTGTGAACAACGGCACACACTATCTAGACTCCACTGGTGAGGTGCCATGGATCTACGACATGGTTACCAAATACGATGAGCTTGCGAAGAAGAACAAGACCATCGTCATCCCCGAGTGTGGTCTCGACTCTGTTCCTGCAGATATCATGGCGTACGTCCTCGCTCGCGAGGTGCGCAAGCGCTACGACGCACCCTGCGAGCGCGCCATCATGACACTCTACGACTTCAAATCTGGAATCAGTGGTGGAACATCCCTTACTATGCTGGAACTCTTCAAGAAATACTCACTCAGTCATCTCGGAAAGTCGATGCACCCATACTCGCTGTCGCCGGTTAGCGCAGACAACGTCGTCGCAGCACCGTCGGGAAGCTTTCCATACAGTCTTTTCGGTCTACAAAGTATTCCTGAGCTTGGAGGCATCCAGACAACTGGACTCATGGCAAGCGTCGATGTATGCATTGCACATCGCTCGTGGGGTCTGTACCAGTCTTCGGGTGACGACACCCTGCAATATGGTCCCAAATTCCGGTTCAACGAGTACGCGCGTGCTCCCAGCTTCTTTGTTGGGCTAGCACAGAAGGTCGTTCTTACTTCAGTCGCCGTCCTGCTTGCCATACCAGTAACACGCTGGTTGTTGGAACCCGTCTTCAAGATGGTCATCCCAAGCCCAGGCCAAGGACCGTCGAAAGAGAGCATGAAGGATGACTTCATGCACTACCGTGGTGTTGGCACCACTGGGGACGGAAAGAAGGTGATTGCCAACCTCGAGGTCGCACATGGTGGGTATGTTGCCACGGCGATGACACTCAGTGCCGCCGCCTTAGTCGTTCTCCGAGGCAGGCTAGAGGACAGCGAGGCGGGTAAGCTAGGAGGTGGCATTCTTACACCCGCAACACTGGGAGATGAGTACGTGAAGACACTGAATGACTTTGGCATGAAGATCAGAGTGGACAAGTAAGATATTGAGCGGGAAGGCCTTTGGCCAACAATTGATCTCCAATATCCAATCTACAAAAAGTTCATTTGAACACAGCATGTACGAAACGAGCAGATCACATGCTTTGACCGTAACCTTACCGCACGTGGCTTCACCATACATCATCCCTGGTCTTCTCATCAAAGTGTCACGAGAGCGATGATGTCAATGAAAAATACGTTTAGCTAGTCTTGACGATGTACTCAGCTTGCTAATCAAGATCAATTATGCAAAAAGACTGGACCTATTCCTCTCACTTTCAATGCACCTACTCTCTCGACTATTGTCGTTTCCGTCTTCAGGTGACTGCCTCAGCAAATATACAGTAGAGACGTGATAGCTAAGCTATAGTCCCCTATTGCTGGGTTGTCGTTGATCGCTGCTTCGATTCCCCAACCCCTCTATAGTGGATATTGGAACGACAATGCATTAAACGGTACGATGGAATCTCCCCTTCTCGGGGAGCTCAAAGCAGTCGCCCGATTGTGTTCTGCCAGCCCCTACAGAAAGCCTCCAACACTAGTGCAGCGGCTACTTGGGCAAAAGCGGTTGGTTGAGGGTCAAATGGTAATTCCTGGTGCTGATGTAAGAAAGTGCTCGGGTATTAAACGCAAGTATCGCTCGTCCTCGTCCGCTACGCCTCCTCTCTGATCCACCGTCCGCATCCAACAGAGTAGACGCCAATAGCCCAGTGTGCTCATGACCCGCTGTGTGTCTCTTCCTTCTTGGTTGTACCATCTTCCTTCTGCCTCGCACCACCGGGTCCCTGCTTAGCCAAGGCTTCAATCATCTCCGCAACCGCAAGGGCCTTTGTCCGGTTCGCTTCTTCATCTGCGGGGTCTGAGAGGGTGTCGAGGCCGCCGAAGAGCCAGAGTTCTTGTAAATCGCGGATGAGGGTGGAGATGCCTTGTGCCGTTCGGATCTACGCACTGTTAGCCCAGCCCCGCTGCGTTGGGAAAGCTGGCGTGCGGTATGGAAGCTTGCGACGCACCAAGGCAGCACTTTGTTCTCTAATGACCAGCTCCCTTTGTGCAGACGTTGCATAGTCCAATGCCGGCGGAAACTCGGTTCGTGTGTCGTCTTCCGAGTAGTCGGTCGCATCCTGCATCTTCACGGCGCGAAGAATGGTGGAGAGGTAGCCGTCGCCGCCCCATGGGTCATCTTTCCGGTTGTCGACAATGGAAGTGCATAGTGCCTCGGTCTTTGCTGCAAGAGGGTTAGCATGCGCTTGACGGGCTCTCGTGTGTCTGCATCTCCATAGCGTATATGGCACATACCGAGAAGTGCCTCTTTCGTCCGCTCTGAAGGGTTCATAGCGGGGCTGCAGGTGTGTCTGGCGCACTGAGTTGCGGAGTTTCGGGAGTGACCTCCAGCCCGATCAAAGAGCTTATCGATAGCTGGCTCGCACAACTTGTGCTATGCAAACTTGGCTGCCGGCCCTGCATTCGACTTGATCCAAGCATGCGATCGCCACGGTGATCAACACGGGGGGCTTCAAGTCCCAGGGTCCGAGAGTGAAGATCACAGTCTCGCGACCCAAAACCTCGGCGTCGCGTCACGCTATTGATCGACCCGGGGCATGACGTCCTTCAAAGGGGCCCCGTGTGTCGCCAATCTGGGACCGAAGCATTTAACCATTTATCCCCGATGATACGATGGACCCGGTACCTGGTAGTATCGCGCCATGTCAAATCGAGTCCCAGGTGTCTGTTCACCCAAGGCATACACCTGGCCATGACGGCGACGTCGAAAGCTTCAGCGGCTCGTCACAAATTGGCTGACAATTTGTCAACGAGTCGTGCATGGGCATTTTGACGAGTTGGAAGCCCGCGGACAAAGTTGGGTTTAGACGTTCCGTGGACGTTCGGCCGTTCGCGTAATCGAAACCATCGTTACCAGCACGGATGATCGTCAGGAACGGCCGCCATACCCGTCTCCACCTGACGCCCGCTTGTGCTACAGGTCTTGTGTATCGTGCCGTCGTCGTCGTCGTGTCTTCGAGCAAAGCAGACATCTCACACATGGCCTGCTATCACGCAAGCTGAGACGGTCCGTCTCATTCATGGCCCGTGAACTGGGCCGCAGATAGCGACCCTGCATCCGAAAGCCACGTTCCTGGTTCAATGGCTGGCTGCCTAGGCGGTAGACCCGGGAACGCCGCACCTTATCGCGCAGCGACCACCTTCCACTAGCCTGTTTGACACGGACAATGTCCGATTTCTTGTTAGAGGGCCAACGGAGCGCCGACTACTGCAATACACTGTATTGCTGACCAGGTTCGGAACTTGTCCCGTCTGTGGCTTGCGCCTTGCATGCGTCGCGCATGTATCACTTCCAGCCATGTGGGTCTGCATCGATAACATGCTTGGGATGCATCGAAGAATCCGAGCGAGGCCTATGTTTGCCGAAACAGAGACGAGTCGACGCAGCGTGCGAAAGAAGCCATGTCATAAGATTGTCGTGATTGCTACTGGCAACTATCTACGTGGATGTGTAAAATTTGCGGTGGACCATGCTCACTAATGTCGTGTGCTGAAACACTTGCAAAAAAGCCAGGACTCCTGCGTCATTTGTGCTCCTTTAAACGCTCAAATCCTTCCCAGTCGTGATATAAGAATGAAATAGTTTAGAGGAGTAAGATATCGGCCCCAAGCGCTGTATTGCCAAAACGCCTTGGCCGATGTAAAATCACGCTAAAATGCAAGGTGCAGAGGTTCTCCAATAGGTCGAAAAATGGAGCCTTTGTGGTCAAAGCAATCAAACTTGCAGCACTCATACAGAGCACAGTATGCTGCGTCGGGAAAGGGTGTGCCATGAGCTGCGGCTCTTGGCACGCTGTGACGTAGGCCGCGAGTTGGGAGCAGAAGGTTGAGGCAAAGTCTGGGGTTCAGATATGTGTTTTCGCTTGACCAAAGTGGCTTTTGCAGGTTGTGGGTTGATGACGCGTACGATCTCGTCGTTATCGTCGTCGTCTTTGGACTCTTCAGACTTGGATGTGCCTGTCGCGAACATGAGCAGTTGAGCGTTGAATCAATTAGGGCTGCTTACGAGAAGAGGCTGAAGTACGTCTGGAAGTGTGAGAAGACGTCTCCGCCGAGTCTGCACCTAGGATTAGCGGGTTTGTTAACCATCAATGGCGTATTGCTTACCGTCTGGAGAAGAAACATTGGATAAAGGACTCCGTCGTTTGGTCATGGAAGACCTACTGCTCGCAGTCTGGCGCGGTCGTGGACGATAAGTCGCAGCAGGTGGGAATGCTGGTAGAGTGGGTACTGGCGGTATGTTGTCCGAAAGATGCAAAGGCTGGCCTGACACGGGTGGACCGCGTCCTCTAACACGGTTTTGCTCATCAATTTCCATGGACAGTCGCCGAATCACCGCGTCTATGGAAAGGCCCTCACGGCTCTTGGGTCTGTGGTTGACGGTACGAGTAGGGTTCGGTGTTACGCCGCTCCTGGCGCGCAAGGCTGGGTGTATGAGGTCGGACGAGTGGTCGAGTTTCCGTCGTACTGCTTCGGGCAGCGGTTGAGAGGCGGTTCTACTCCTTCTTGCGGCTTTGATCCGAGCCTGCAATTCTTCAGCGGCGACCAATTTGGGGTTCGCAGCAGGCGCATCCTCGTGTGCCAAAGGCTTGGAAAAATTGGTAAAGGGCGCGGACGTGGGTCTCGGAGGCTTTATCGTAGCAATGGGGTCTTTTTGGTTGAATGCTGCTGGTATGCTCCTGTGTTTCATGGACGTGGACATTATTGGTAGTTGGTGATGAACGGGGTGCAAATGTGTTAGGATCCAGGTCGAAGGGGTTTGCGGAAGGTGTTTGGCTTCTGGGGTAGCGTAATCTATAATGGATAATTATGATTTCCCAACAGTCGGGGCGGGAGAGGCACTTGCGTAGCGTGGGAACTGGGTTTCTGTCAATGCGCCGTTGCTTCTAGCGCTTCAGATGCAGATCCCTCTGTGAGGCGCAGCTGGTGAAACTCGAAAAGGCTAGCAGGCGTTGATAAACAATCCCAAGTTGCTTTAGCGACCGCCGACACAGCTCAGCTTCGTATAGGAGCACTTGAGCCTGGCCTCTCAGTATGCCACGGACTAACGAATGCGGCAATGGTCGCGGAACATGGCGCAACGTGTGCCATTGGTGATTGGCCTCCCGCGCTATCATCCCCAAACCCTGGAAGACTATGGCTAGACCATTGCCGATGCATCTACGTGTGCCGTGTCTATAGTTAGTAGTGTCGAGGCTCGTAGGATATATGACGAGGCGTCTGCCTAGGTAATGGTTCATCGAGCTGTTCGCAACGGTGACGGCTCGCGCAGTGCCATGGGCTCCCACGACGCACTGTGGCATTGGGATGGGCGCCGGGGGACGTTTGAAGGTGGGCGGGCGGCCAGCTATGGAGAAGCGCGTCCCGCAGCATGCATACTTGTGGCTGTCAGCTCTGCAGCTCGTGCACCACTTTCGCTATGGAAGGACGTATGTACAGCAAGTCGAGACTCTCGGATGCCAGCCCAGATAAGTCCAGGTAGACGCGCTGTGCATCTACCGGGAGTGGATCGTACGAGCCTTGCTTGTGAGGTAGTGGCGTGCGCGGCGAAGAGCCCCCGCCTCGTGGCATCGCAGGCCAAATGGCAATGGACAGCCCGGTCGCAGTGGGAGACAGCGAAGGTTGTCTGACCATGGTGCCTTCCTCTATAGTCATCCCCTCGCTTATCCACCCAGTGCACCGCCAACGGCACGTGACGAATGGATAGCCCCAGAGCTGCCTGCCTATCTGCCTACGTACTCTGGCAGGTAGCCCTGGAGACGAGGGCACAGAGCCAGTCGGGCAGGTGCGTGTGAAGGGCCATGGGCGTAGGTTGCGATGGGTGGTGCGGCGTCTGGTGGAGCTGTGGGTGCCAAGCTGATTGCGTCAGTGAAGCCGGCGTGGGCAAGCGCGCATCTCAGCGGGCGCCGTCATACGAGGCGAAAGCTGCACTCCTTCACACCAAGGCTGGCAACGGGTCGGGCGACTGCATACCGGATTACTACCCCGCAACACACACCTCGCAGACCGCGCCCACACATCGCCGCGCTCGCCAGGGTTCCGCGTGGTGGTTACCTGCCCAGGCACGCACTGGCATTGCGCTCCAAGCAGCTAGTGGCCAAGGCCCTGTGCGCTCTCCCGCCTTCGTTTTGCGACCCACGACGCGACAAAGTGTTCCGAGGCTGATCTCCATCACCCTGCCCCGTCACCGCGCCATCGCGTTGTACCATCGACTGCTGCGCGCGCCGGGCCTGCCCCATCCACGCCCTTCTTGTCGCGTTCCCGAGCTCTGCGATAGCCCGCAAGCGCCGCCGCGCCTCCTAATCGTCATCCGCCAGCACAACACGCAGCCGCCCCAATCGCCCACCCCCGACCTCCGCCCCATCCACCGCCAATTGTCCGCTGCACATTGCGCAAACGATCGCGACCGCCCGCCTGCCTCCGGAGGGTACACGCCCTAGCCGGAGAGTGTCGACACGCCGCCGCCGGTTATGGCAAACGTCGCTCCGCCGCCTGCGAGCGAACGAAAGCGCGTCAAGGTCTACGAACTCAAGAACAACGACTGGTTCGACAGAGGCACCGGCTTCTGCAAGGGCGTCGTCGCCAGCGTACGTTCCCCCACATGACCCGCGAGCCACCCTCACAGTTGGCGCACTTGTCGCGGTATCTGGCCCAACAGGCGTTCCAGGCTAACTTGTGCGACCGCAGCAGGAGGAAGCGAGGATCGTGGTCCTCTCCGAGGACGACCAGTCGCGACAACTCCTCGAGACGCGCATCTCCAAAGACGACGGCTACCAGAAACAGCAGGGTATGCGCCTGTCCGCGCCCATGGCATCGCAGCAGCTAAACATGTGCAGACACGCTCATTGTATGGACCGAGCAAAATGGCACCGACATGGCCCTCAGCTTCCAGGAGCCCGAGGGCTGTGCTAGCATATGGTGAGCCGCGTGTGCCTTTCCGAGTCCACGTCGTATGCTGACGCAGAACAGGGACTTTGTCAATGAAGTTCAATCGCGGCTGCAAGCCCTCGCTCAGGGTACGTGACATGAATCGTCCCCAGCTTCCAGCAAGCTAATGCTGACACAGACGATGGTCTTTCAGACGACATCGATCACATCAGTCCCATCCTACTTCCCAGTCCCGACCTCGGCAACCTCCACGAAATCGAGAACCACATGCGCGCTGCAAATTCGACCCCCGGCGGCCGCGAAGCCTTGGCCAAGTTCATACTCGCCCAAGATTATATACCAAAACTCATCCCCTTGGTGGATATGGCCGAAGACCTCGAAAGCGTGTCAGACCTCCATCGACTGTGCAGCATCGTAAAGATGCTTATCTTGCTCAACGATACCGCCATTATTGAATACGTCGTAACAGACCCGGTGGTTCTGGGTGTCGTTGGGGCTCTGGAATGTGAGTTTCGGCCCCCGCGACCTCTCACATGGCTTGCTGACATTGCGCAGACGACCCGGATTTTCCTCTGCACAAAGCCAACCATCGACAATATCTCGCTGATGAATCCAAGTTCAAGGAAGTCGTACGGATAGAAGACGAAAACATCAAACGGAAAATACATTACACGTACCGACTCCAATACCTCAAAGACGTGGTTCTTGCGCGCATCCTCGACGATCCTACTTTCAGCGTTCTGAACTCCCTCATCTTCTTTCACCAGGTCGACATCGTCCAGCATCTCCAAGCGAACGGCCCATTCTTGAAAGAGCTTTTCAGCATTTTCTCCCCCAAAGAGCAGAACTTGTCGAGGAAGAAGGACGCCGTCTTGTTCATCCAGCAATGCTGCGCAATTGCGAAGAGCTTGCAAGCCAACGTTAGGGCACAGCTATATCAGAACTTCATCAGCAGTGGCTTGCTGGAAGTGATACAATTTGCGCTCAAGCACCAGGACGCTTCAGTTCGCGTAGCAGGAACCGACATACTGGTGTCTCTGATCGACCATGATGCCTTGATGGTGCGAAGTTACATCTTCAAGGCCATTCAGGAAAAGTCAAAACCGCTCACCGATACCTTGATCGAGTTACTTCTCATTGAGGTAGACCTTGGGGTCAAAGCGCAGATGGCTGATGCGATCAAGATCCTCCTTGACCCCAATGCCAACTCAGCTTCCATAGAAGCCCTCGGGCGGACGAACAGCGACTTCCTGGCCAAAATGAGGGGGCAACTGCCATCTATACCCCAAACAGACTCCTTCATACAGAACTTCTATGACGAGTCTGCGAGGAAGTTGTTCCAGCCTCTCAAGGATCTTGAGGGCCGAGAGTCGAGTAAGTGTGATTGTTCGTCCCCTTGTGATTCAAACTAACATGCTGCAGTGGATGACTTATCCATGCAAGAAGTATCGCTTTACGCCCATTTAGTCGAGGTTCTGTGCTTCTTCATCCGTCAACATTCTTTCCGTAGCAAATACTTCATTCTATCAGAAGGTCTGGCAGTGCGGGTTGCCCAGCTCATGGGTTGCCCAGAGAAGCATCTGAAGCTTAGTGAGTCCCCCTACATCGATATGATGGCTTCCACTAACGGGTTCTAGCCGCTCTCAAGTACTTCCGCACTGTTCTCGGCTTTCACGATGAGACGCACAACCGCCAGATCATCCAGCACGAGCTGTTTGAACCGATCTTGAAGATACTATACGAGACCATGCCGCGCGATAATCTCCTCAACTCGGCGTGCTTGGAGTTGTTTGAATTCATCAGGCGCGAGAACATCAAGATGATTGTTCAGCATCTTGTCGAGACATATAGAGAAAGATTACAGGAGATTACGTACGTGGATACGTTCCAAAACCTGATACTCAAGTATGATCAGAACCATGAGCCGGTAACGACCCAAGAGATGGACAATTCCTTTACGAGTGTGGATAGCGACACACCTGCACGACATGCCGCGGCTGTCAATGGTGGCAAGTGGGGCCAAGGCCTGAAAGATGCAGACCCAGATGAGGAGGCATATTTCAACACATCAGACGATGAGGATGATCATTTGTCTGGGGCCGGAAAGTTGGCCATGAATGGCGCATCGCCAGTGCGACCCCTCGTCAACTATCCAGATGATGATGCCGACGATGCCGATATGGACGACCTCGCCACCGATATGCCCGCCTCCGCTCACAAAATGTCGACAACCCAGTTGCCAGAAGGAAGTACGTCCCCCAACTCGACCTCCGCAGGATCGCCACCAGAACGGATATCGGAGAAGCGCCGTAGAGAGGAGGACGAAGAGGACGAACTCCTCGCAAGCATATCCACCTCTGCTGGGCCAAAGCGACGCGCTTCCACATCTAGTAACGCCAGTTCTGGAAGTTTGCGGAGTTTGCGTCGGAAGTCGCCTAATGTCAACTCCGGCAAAGATGGTGGCACGCCAAAGAAGATATCGTTATCGATACCACTCAAGAGCAGTGGTGAAGGTGGCGAAAGCGGATAGTATGGCATGCCTCCTCCGCGATAGAGTAACCAGTATTCGAGTATGTGGAGGAAGTCTGGATTTTTGCTCTACAGCAAGCCTTAAAATAACCCAAAAGATACCCATTGGAAACTCGATAAACAAGAACGACGTTGCATGAAAGGGGTTGTACGAGGTTTTGCTTCTTCATGCAAATGGTTCCGATCTGGTAGCGGCATTGCGAAGGTGTAATTATTAGGCGTTCAATGTCTTGACCATTCCGGCGTGGGGGTTTGGAACGGCCACGATGGAATGATGCAGCGCAGCGTGTCGTATTGTCAGCGTGCGTTCAGGTGTTGGATTTTCTTGTGCATGATCGAAGGTATCCGGCCTGTGTATTATAACTCGTTTTCGTGCGGGAATGTCAACTCGTATGCAAGTCATCAATCATCCGTGCTGAACGTGAAGAGATGTGACACGTTTGCGCATTGTTGTGAAAATCCCAAGCATAAAATAGCATGGCGTGACACATGCAAACGTCCGTACCTCTGCGGCTGAATCACGTTCTGTTGTTTCCGCTAGCGCCGCTCGCAAGCCCGCGTGCAACTAATGCAACATCCCACGTCTAACCTTCATACAGCTTGCATTTCGGCTTCACAATCAAGCTCTCAGTGCCCGAAGCTTTTCCAATACCCAGACACGTCGTGCGATGCCGGACCAACGATCTTCTACCAAGCCGAACAACACGACATCGATGGAAAACTCAGCTACGCACAACATCAACGTCTCCGAAATGCCACCTAAACCACCAACTCTGACTCTCATTCTTGCAGTCACACCGAGTCTCGGAATTGGAAACGGTGGAGGCTTGCCATGGCCGCAGCTGAAAAAAGAGATGGGATTCTTTGCGCGAGTCACGAAGCGTACATCGCCTTCAGCGTCCACGGCGAGCATCAAGAAAGTAAACGCTGTGCTCATGGGTCGCAAGACGTGGGAGAGCATACCCCCCAAGTTTCGACCTCTGAAAGATCGCCTAAACATCGTCGTTACGTCGAAGCCAGAAGAGTTCAAAAGTAAATTAGACAAGAATACGGAGGTCGAAGGACCAATGGTCTGCTCCAGTGTGTTGGATGCGATAGCACAGCTCGAGAAGCAGGATGACAGCAAACTCCAAGGCTCAGCGATAGAGCTAGATAAGATTTTTGTTATTGGCGGAGCAACTATATACGAAACGGCGCTTCAACTTCCGCAGACAAAACGAGTTCTCCTCACGAAGATAAAGAAGGAATTCGAGTGCGACACATTTTTCCCTGTCAATCTGGGAGAGACGACAATTTGGAGGAACGCGAGCAGAGAGGAAGTGCAGACATTCACTGGAGAGGAGATCCAAGAGGGTGGGATTGAGGAGCAGGGTGTCGAATTCGAGTTCTGCATGTACGAGCGGGAGTGAGTCAATTAGAGTGAAAGAGCAGCAAACAAATATGATTCAACGGAATGATTCACATTTGATGGTCGTGCCCAACGTGAGGAAGGCGCGACGGAGGAGGCGCTCTCACCTCCACCCTGCCACGTCATAGCAATCGATTGTTCGCCTTAAGCCCTTCCACCCATCAATCTCTCCTGTTCCTCGGATCAAACTCTACCCGCAACCAGCATGTCAAAGCAAGATCCACCCATGCAGTCCGTATGGCAAGAGCTATGGCGGGGAAGTACGTTATCCAAAGCGACAAGCACAACACCCACTGACTCTGAACCCCAGATCTCCCTCTCTACCTAGCCATGAATCTCTCGACGACAGCCAACATCGCACTCGTTACTCTGCTCCTCGTCGCCATCTTTTCCATCGCTTTTGAGATCGCCCGCATCTGGCTATCCCGTCGCACCCGTCAGACGCATAGCTACGTTCTCGTCGACGACACCGTCGGGATCTCACCGCCGAATTCAGGACCAGTATCCTTGTTGGCACGCACCAACCGTGGTCCCCGCTCAATTGTGTATGCCAAGGCAGTCCTGCATGCTATCCTCTTTCTCGGCGTACAGGCAGTTCTCACTCTCCTCGTTGTCCAGATTGCGCGCCTCATAGCATCTACTTTCGCCACCGACCGCCGTCTTCGCAAGCAATGCGACCGTTTAGCGCAGAGGGGACTCGAGTGTCCGGCTGCAACACGCTATCACAATGTCCTGAACGTTCCGGTTGCCCTTGGTCTGTTTTGCTTGATCCGAGGTCTTCAATTGCACGCAGAACTGCCGACCCGCCCATCTCAGAACAGCAACCACAGCAACGGCTTCCTGACCCTCCAAGACACATGCCGACGGACGATGCAGAAGGTGCTTGCAGCGCCCATTGCCGTGGTCGTCCTACACTCCCGTGTGCCGGCGGATGAGCTGTGGAAGCATGCCAGGCTGATTTTTGTTCAGATTGCTGTGTCTGCCTGCATCTTCCTTTGTGGCAACATTCTCTGTTTACTTGCCGCGTTCCCAGTGAGTTTTTCCCGTCAGTTGACATGCAACTATCAAAGCGGCTAACCAGGTCTAGGATATACATGGTACTATACTCGCATTGGAGAAGTCAGGGCTCACTGGAAAGACGGAGGTGTAAAGTCGACCTCTAAATAGGAGCTTTGAGGTATATCGATTGCTGCAGTACGGCATGGTGTGTGAAATACACGTATGAAATTTTACATTGTAGATACGAAACCAAGTCAGGCTTAACTCGTGTTCTGCTAGACCCTGAAGCAGTGGATTGATACGGAACATCGGAGGTTTCCATAATACAAGAGAGTTCGAAGCCGTAGAGATAGGAACGGGACACATGCCATCTTCGTATTAAGCGGATTATTCTCATCGCAGATCACACCAAGTCAACATCTGACGAGGTGCAGATGGCGCCTGTCCGTGAAGTACCAAGACATGTTTTCCAACATCCTCAAGTACATTCCAGTACATCTCCAATCCAGCGTTCTGCCCCGTCTTCCATGCAACCTGCGTGTACCCACATACCCAGCCCACTCAAGCCATGACAAGATCGTAAGCCGCCTTGCCGCTCATAAGCACCATGGCATAGTGCGCAATCATCCACAGCGCGCCATAGTACCTCCCCTTGCCACCATCCTCGCCACTCCTGGTGTAACCCACCGCGTAAACCACGCGATTCACACTCCACACCGCGCCCAATACCGCCGCCGCAACAGGATATCTCAGTCCGCTGATGAGCATGGCGCCGAGGGCGGTGACGTGGTTCTCGTTGAAGTTCTGGTGCGCGCGCTGCGCCGAGTTGAAGGCCAGCATTGCGGCTTTGGATTGCGGCGACGCGGTTTGCACTTGTTCGTACGAGGCGTATTCGTAGGGGTAGGGGATCTTGGCTGCTTTGCGGAAGCCGCCGACGCGGCCGCCGTGCCAGGCGCCGACGAAGAAGGTGGAGACGCAGGCGGCGAGGACGAGACTGTGTGTGTGTGAATTAGTTTGTGGGTGGGCTTTGGTGAGGGGTCGTGGAAGGGAATGCATTGAGGTTTCTGCCGTTGCATTTGAACGTACCCGTACTCGCTGGGAATCTGGATAATCGCCATTTTGATTGTTGATGTAGTAATCGAGCCGAGGGAAGTCGTGTTGTTGTGTCGTCTTCAGTTGCGAGATGCGTGGAAGATATTCCGTAGAAGCGCCGTCCGCCTATGTTTTATACTTTTGTTGACGTCTTCCTGTATGTTGTCTAGCGTGATACTGTGTTCTCTTGACTTGGGCAGACGCAATGTGTCTCCAGTTGTTTGCGACGCGGACGAGTTTCAGCGGAAGGTAATCCGCAATCGGCGCAATTTCTCGCCGACGGCGTCCCGCAGGTGCTACCAGTATGCGACAACATGGCTGCCTGCATTGCTGAGTCGTACCGCGGATATTTTGTCGAGGGTACAGTCGTGGTTAGAGAGCGGGAAGAAGGATGTGATCAGCCATGGACGAACATGCACGGATGCGCTGCCTGGGTGAGGTAGAAGGTGAAGGCTGATTTGGCGGGTGAGCATGTGTAGTTCATCAGCACGCCTGACCTCGTCAACTGATCCTCGCCATGCGCATGAGTTGTTGCCCACCGGCCGCATGTGGGTATACGAGGACTTGTGGACGTCAGAAATTGGGCGTGTAGAGAACTTGACATTGGTAGAATACCATTGATTGATACACTGGGGAGCTGGCGGATATATGTCGTGGGGTGGAGATTACTAAACTACAAAGTGCTCCCTTCCGTCATCCCGCCCCGGAATGGCGACTTTACATTGATTGCAATCGTCAAAGGGAGATCGCGGAAGGGATACCTGGCTTGCTAGTACCTAGTCTGGGCTTGCTCCGTCAAATCATGGTGGTAGATTATGTTGCCCACGCATTCTCCTCCGCAACCCAGTGTATGCACGTCGCCAGAACGTTTAGATCTTTGCTTGACGGGATATGTATATATAACACCATGTTGGATAATTGAGCGCTGAACTACACACATTGACACACATAATGAAGAAGCAAGGTATCTTATGTATATATGTTTGGCGTTCGGCTAGTCTATAATGCCGAGCCGTAGGCGGAGATCTCTCACTGAGCCTAAAGAAAGTTTTCAAATACCGAATTGCCCTCTGTATGTCGTGCAGAGGCCATCGAGACGCGAACGGGCTGGTGTATTTCGAATCATCAACATGCACTCTAGCGTCCGTCTTGATCGTCGTGTACAGTCCAGTGGTCGTCATGCAACCCTGTAGATGAGACTTGTGTGAACCAAAGTTTTGGTGTATAAAGACTGTACCAATCATCATGCAAATGAACCCGTCTGCTTATCCCCAAACATCTTCTCTCTTGGGCCTGGGAAATTCACAATAGCATGACTCCAAATCTGGGGCGCATGTGCTTGGAAGACGTGAAAACAGGCAGTATAAGGACAGCAGATCAAGAAACTGGGTATATAGATTCATCGCTCATTCATTTCTGTGTGCGGTCATCAATTTCGTGTACAGCCATTTCAGCCACTCAGCACCCATTCGCGGTGACAGCCCTAACAGCCACGCTATCAATCCTTCTTTTGTAGACGGTCATCTGGTGTTTCAGCAAATCACCGTATACAACCTTCCTCAACATCTCGTCGTCCACCGTTACTGCCTCGATATCTTCCTCACTTCTGCTTCCGACTCGTTGTCTCAACACTACCAATCGCCCCGCAGGTGACAATGTACACTGCGGTATTGGCCATGCAGGCAAGGAAGAAGAAGTCGAGTTTGTAGTGTTCGTTTGTAGTGAAGATTTGGAGGGCCTGCTAAGGCGCGGGGCAAAACCATACTTCGATTTTGGTTTCGGTGGGGAAGACCGCGAAGGGTCTAGAAGGCTGGGTTTAGACATCGATGCAACGGTCGAAGCAAGGTTAGAAGCCGCGACAGGTGCTGGACTGGCATAGAGTTTCAGCAAGCTTTTCAGCACGCTCTTGTCCGCTCGCGGTATCGGGTCGCCTTCGTTGATGAAGGCATAGAAGAGACTTTTACGATGTCGCTTGTCATCAGGCTTCTTCAAAGGATGCAGACTGACTGGTGGCGCACCGAACGTGACACAGTGTACGCGCTTGAAGAAGCTGGTCAGGTAATTAAGCTCAGAATCGATCTTTGTGCTCATCATGTGTCCGTAAAGCAGTGCCGCGACTGCTCCGCCCGCGGAGTGTCCGGTGATGAGTAGACTGCAGTTTGAACGCGCGGGGTTTTCTTGGAGCAAGACCTTCAACCGTTCTGCCACGGGCTTGATCATCTTCTTGGCCACGTAGAGAAAGCCAGCGTGGCACAGGTTTGACGGGTCGTCAAGAAACTTCTCCGGGCTGTGGGGTGCCGAGTTGTAGTTGACAGCCCAGTCCATAAAGGTCTGGCTTCCGCGAATAGCGAAGACGATAGTATTCAGTTCTTCCACAGGGATGGACTTGAGTACCATGGCTTTTGTGCCGCTACGCCAATCAGCAGGAATGAAAGTCTCCATTTCAGGATTCTTCTTCGTGCCTGGCGGCGTGTACGCCTTCTCCGAGTAGGTTGCGGCCAAGCAAAGTAGAGGATACGTTGGTAGATATACCTTGAAAGGCGGCAGATGTGGTGGTAATCGGGAGTTGGAGTATAGCCACACTTTGGAGAAATGATTCGACCCTTTATCGCTACTAGAGTGGGATTGCACTTCGTGTTGGCGTCGGCGTCTTGGTTCACCAAGAGGAGGGCTCGTTCTCTGAGCCTCTTCTTGCTGCTGCTCGCTGAACTCCATCATGAGGTCTTGTTCTTTGCCGCTGAAGTGATCGTCATCAATGCTGGTGATGACTGCGTCGAACTTCGAACTAATCATATCGTATAGCGCAGCTCCGCGACACAACGTTTGCATGCTCTTTGTAGCGACAGCTGCGGTGGGCCGCTCAATGCAGTTGGTCGTCAGTTTCGTGACACTCTTTCCAGCCGTATCGCGAAGATTCAGGTAGGATTTGGCGGCCATTCGGTCGAGACTATTCCATTGTTGTTCGAAAGGGCCTTGACCGCGGGGTTCTTGGGGTGGCGGAGAAGCAAAGCGGATCGTTGATTGACTAGCGTATGGCTGAACAGGCTGCGGTGGCGGAGAGCCATATCGGTAACTGTCTTCTGGAAAGGACCCAGGCATCTGGCGATAAATGGAGTGCTGAGGCGGACTCGCGGCATAGCCATAGAGGGTCGGGGGAGGCCTCGTTGCTGCTGCACGCTGAGGAGAGGTCGCCTGGACCGGAGGCGCGTAATCTTGCAAGTACATGTCTGCCACTGAAGCCGAAACGCGTGGTTTCCTAGAAGAGGAGCGCGGCTTCGCAGTCTTGGACGAAGAGTGCGAGGACTTCTTCCTGCTCTTCCTCTCGACTTCGGTCGCCGCCATGTCGTCGCCCTAGTCTGTATACGGCTCTGCAAGAAAGTGAAAGAAAAAGTATAGGCAGTGTCGTAATGGCGGGGAAGTCGTGGGATCTGTTCAACGCGGTAATCGTCGTCGATGTCCTGTCCGCGACGTATGCCAAGTTTCAGTCATAGCCGCTGCGTGCTCCTGCGTTACGCTAATGAGGGTTGCATGACGGGCGTAGATCTTTGAAGCTCGATTCCAGATTGTGTTGCTTTTGTTGGGGAGCTCAAAGACGTCTGACAAACGAGGGGACACGTCAAAGGCCGAAGGAGTGAAAGGCTCTGAAGTCAGAATGGGCGCGGCCGGCTGTTAAGGGCGGGTCGATGCAGGCGCAAGGAAGCCGCGGTATAGCCACCGCGCTAGGCCCATCACTGGCTGGATACACAACGCTAGATGACAAGCAGGTGCGATTGGCTGCGTAGGATCTTGGCGCGTATTGGAGCGGTGGACATGTAGCCCTTCGCTGTCGGTGCATGTAGACCTCGTGACCATCTGTAAACGTCGCGAAAGCCGAAATTGCGACCCTGTAGCGGTCTGCAGGAACAGAAGACGGGATTGCTATTTCTGATGTTCCAGCGCACATCCATCCCCACACCCTCGATCAACGGCTAACTTGCCACCACAGCGATAGGACGCCATCCTTGCCATTCGCCGGGGCTTTGGAGTCCCGTTGCATCACCCGCAACTCGTCACACAATTAGAGTTTAGACTTTGTTCTGACAGGAACTACACCGTCCATGTGCGCGTGTGGAACATGGTGCTACAGCTTCTACACTCAGCTATCTATCGTGCGCGCCAATGAAGTCGTCGTGTTCCTCTTCTGGCGTACCGAGTAACCCTCTTTCTTCGCTCTCTTCGTCGTCATCACTCTCCTGCCTAAGACCTCCTCTCCCCCCCACCCCTGCACCACCTTCTTCGCGCTCTTCATCAACACCGTTCATTACGTACCACACGTCTTTTTTGGTAAGCAAGCCTTTCAGCATACCTCGGTCCGTAAACAAAACATAGCGTAGCCCAAGCTTTTGGAACATGGACACTGTAAGCTGAAAGCTGGCTCTAGCGTTGAGTGTGATGGGTGTTTGATCCATCCAAGGCCGAAGGTCCAGTGATGTTGCAGGATCAGAGAGCGGTTGGTGAGAAAAGTACGCTTCTGTTTCGGCGGCCAAGGTCCGGGCAGGCGTCAAGGCAAGTTGGAGTGCGTACTGCAATTCGGTCCTGGAGATGTAACCGAGGAGAAGTGCATCGCGGCTATTGTCTATGATAGGAAAGCCACGAAATCTGTGTTGAGATAGAAGCTGGCGCAGCGATCCGATAGTATGGCCAGTCGCAGTAATCGCAGTCAAGTCTTCGATGCGCGTCATTACATAACCTGCGCCAACATCTGGGATGCTGGAACCGTTGTCTTCGCGGTTGTCAAGAAAAGGATAGCCTTTGAAGTGTATCCAGGACTCATAGATACCACGTGGGGAGATTGCGTCGCCAATCCATTTACTTATCATGACCGCAATCATGATAGGCAGGACATAGGTGAGCGCTCCGGTAAGTTCGAACATGATGACTACAATTGAAACTGTCATACGTGTCGTTCCGGCAAGTGCGGATGCGGCACCGACGATAGCGTACGTGCCTGGGGTTACACAGGGTACGTCTGGTTCGCACGATTTGAAAACGAAAAGCGTTGGCCAGGCCGCCTGAACAACTTCGACAGAAAGTCCCACAGCACGGCCAAAGAGTCCTCCGATGGCCATAGAAGGGAGGATAATTCCAGCAGGTATCTGCAGGCCGAAAGTGAAGCCCGAAAGTATTATGCCCAGTCCTGAGGAGATGAGTAAGAGTGCAATAACTCCTGTGTTTGCTTTGCCAGATTTACATAGGCCCAGCGTATCCTCGGCGAGGTCGGCGCATTCGGCAAATAAGATGTGTACGAGTTCGGACGCTTGAGCGCGCATGAATTTGATGGGGAAGTTGATGAGTGCTGTGACGAAAGATACGATGACAACCTCTGTCACGGGACCTTTGAGATACTGTCGGTTCTTGCGCCACTCAGCAACGCCCATGTTGAGCTTGATGAAGAAGCCCCCAAAGAGCCCGCCCAAGATTCCAAGGAATGCGAAAGGGACCAACTCGAAGTCATGCCATCCGCTATGATACGTGACTTGGTACAACACGAGTTTTCCGGTGTGGAATGGATTGCAAGCCTGCAGGGTGACAGCAGCGACCATGGCGCAGACAAAGCTGCTCCACATAGTTTTATCCGGAAAGTAATATGAGAGTTGCTCAAGACTGAATAACACGCCACCAATGGGCGCACCGAAAGCGACCGAGATACCCGCTGCAGCCGCTGCGGAGAACACTTCTCGTTTCCGTGCTATTCTCCTGTCAGTACTTGGAGACCAGAGAATGGGGAACCACGCTGACCTTCATTGCCGTTCACATTACCAAAGAGTTTCATGAAAAGGTTCGCAGAGCAGCATGCGACGTGTACCAGCGGACCCTCCTTGCCTAGCCACAAGCCTGACGCGACTGCGAAGCACAAGCCAACCGTTTTTGTGACAAGTGTCCATCCGCCCAGAAAGTGTCGGATAACGAAGCCGCCCAGGACCGTCTTGATCTCGGGTATGCCACTATGCTTCGCGTACGGCGAGAACTCGCGCACCAGAAGACTGGCGCATGCTGCAAAGAGCACGGAGAAGAGCACGAAGAAGACGTACTCGACAACATACCGCCCTCCCACACTCCGAATACCCATAGCAGCGCCCCAGGAGTTCCAGTCATGACAGGCCTGCTCTTCCTCGATCCCCCAACAACAGAAGCTCTTGTTCAGGTAGAAGCGACCGTCTCCATCAACATTGTGGCAGTATCCCGTCTTGAGGTCCGCAAGCCAGTCACTAGCCACATCGATGAAGGCTGCGATGCCGCCGCTCAGTATACCAGCAGCGACCAGGATGATCCAGACCTGGCTTGCGTCTGCCAACTGCTTGAGGTGGCCAAGTACGCCGCTGGCGCCGGTGTAGAGATAGCGCAGCCTCTGTCGTTCTTTGGCGTATTCGAAGATCCAGTCGATTGCGGTAAGGTCGTCGTAGCCGACTCGTCGCCCGGGCCCTTCGACATACCAGTCCAGGCCGTTTGCATCTTTGGTGTCTTGGAGGTGTTCGCCTGCGTTGCCAGGCGTGTCGAGATAGTTGAGTATAAGCTCGGTGGAGCCGTTCGGGCGGTGCGATGGTGGCTGGGGCGAAGCGCGGTTGCTAGCTGATCCGAGAGGTGAGGCGAGGTATCGCGAGAAGCCGAAGGAGGATGCAGGCGGCTTGGGCCTGCGCTTGAAAGACAGCCTGGAGATGCGCGTTAGTATGGAGGTATACCAAGGGCGCTGTGTGCGCATACTGCTCAGGTAGGTCGCGTTCTAGTGGATCGTCCGCCAGCAGCGCCTCTTCATCGCTGTCGTCGTCCTCCACGACCGGCTGCTTCCCGTTGAATGTGCGCCTCGACGATGCTTCAGCCTGTCCATGGGACGACGGAATTGACGACGAGCTGGACATGCCCTCGACATATGCTCTTGTGTAGGCTGGGGCGCATTGCTCAAGCAACCATGACGTGCAGTGGAGGGATGTCGTCCCATTGCGGTATTTGGTGAGGCGTGGCTGGCGCTTGATCGCACACATGCCAAGGCCATTCAATCACATGCCAAACGAGCCCAGGCATCACCACCCGGCCACGTTCTCCACATCATGTCGTCGTAGAAATGCAACAAATTTACGTGTATCATTTCATTTACAGGTGAACTTTGCATCCCCTCTACTCCTGGTTGAAATCGACAACTGCCCGGCCAGCAATCTCTCCCCGCTTCAGCTTCTGCACCGCTTCGTTGAACTTGCTCAGCGGATACACAGTGTAGATGGGCTTCAACAGTCCTCGCTTCGCAAAATCGAGCGTCTTGTCGACGTCCGCCATGCTGCTCACGAGCGTACCCTGTACACTCTGTTTCCTGAAGCACATCTGGTTCGGGTCCACGTCGATGTGCTGAGTACCAGCCGGCGGCAACCCAATGCACATGACCTTTCCGCCTACACGGTTGCCCAGATAGGATATCGAGGACGGGTAGGTCTGCACGGCGGTGACGAAGACGCCATGGGCACCGATGCCGTCACACAACCTGACCACTTCCTCGCCTACGTTGTCGGTCTTCTTGAAATCGATAAAGTGCTCTGCGCCTCCAGTTTCCATACAGAGCTTTTGCTTATCATCGCCAGTATCAATGGCTATGGCGCGCAGACCCATAGCTTTCGCGAGCTGCACGCCTTGTAGACCGACGCCACCGCCTGCACCAGGGAACACGGCCCAGTCTCCGGGCCGCAGCTGTGACTCCTTGATTGATGTGTAGATTGTCGAAGCAGAGCACATGATAGGTCCAGCTATGTAGTCGTTTACACCGTCTGGGACGAGGGTTGTGTAACGTTCGGGCGAAACGATGTACTGCTTGTATGAGCCGTCGATCATCAGTCCAGTCAAGACTGCCTTTGCACAGTAGCATTCGTTGCCGTTGCGACAAAGCTCGCATGTGCCGCAAGTGTCTTGGATTGGCTGGAAACGTCAGCGTATGTTCTTCTGGAAAGGCTCTCCCTTCGCATCACTTCCTCCTCGATGCATGGGGGCATGATGTTCGGCCTGCTCACCTTATATCCAGCTCGCATTCCCGGCTTCAAGTTCTTGACCTGGTCTCCGACTTTGACGATGACACCGCTGCCTTCGTGGCCCGCGCATCGGACTCCTAAATCTGACATCTTGGGGAGAGCCCAGTCGTTGAGCATGAAGTGAAGATCGCTGTGGCAGATACCGGTCGCATTGAGCTTGATGAGCACGTCCGTCGGCCCTGGGAGCGTTGTCAACACCCGTCGATTCTCTGAACAGTGCTCGACACATACCACATTCTGGGACTGGAACATCCTGCACCTCAACGTGGAAATCTGGACCCTCGTTGACCACGACGCCAGCTTTGCATGTTTTCGGTATGTCAAAGGTTTGGATTTTTTCTTCTGTCATGTTGAGAGATTGGTGGTTGAGGAGGTTGGTACAAAGTCTATTAGTATGAAGGTGAACAGATCAAAACGGTGACAGCCCAACGACTAGAGAATGGTCTATACATGAACCCCTCAACATCATCCTACCCCTCATTTCATGAAATCGCACAGACTGTCCGCGCCGCAAGCTTCTCCAATGACGGAGTAGCAATTCACCTTGCGATTCCGCACAAGCCAATGGAATGCTAGCTAGACAACCTCGGTCTTGAACCTATGCCCATCTGTCCAGTAAAATATGGATCATCATCAACGCGACTCAGTAGGCTCGAATCGTCCCTCACATGAGGGAAGGCGGGGGTTTCCGCGTTGAAGGAGCGAAGTGGGCGGTTGTCGGAGCCGTGTACGTGTAGGCGCTTGGCCTTCCCCATACATGAGGCGCGTGTGGTGCGGGGTGATGTACGTGGGGTTGTCAGGCAAGTTAAGGTGGCGTGAGACCCATGTACATCGACTTCAGACTCGACTTCGGGCAAGCTTGCAACCACTGAGTTGTTTGACACGCAAGTCAATATGTATTGTCACGATGCAGCCTTTTCCACGCCAATGATACGAGGAGTTGCAAATCCGACGTTCTCAAGTGGCAAGAGATGGACGCATCAAACCATGTGCTGCTAGACGATGTTTCGGGATCGAAGGTCGTTAGCAGATTAGAATTCCACATAGTTCTATTTGCTGTCAGGCCCATGGATGATAGCATACCCGGTCGATCAGACGAGTTGGCGCGTCTAGCAGATTCCATGCATTACGCGATCTAGTATGGCGTGGCATCAGATGGCCTCGTCGGTGATGCGGTTGCTGCTCGACGGCTTACTCAAGGTCGGTGTCTGGCCTCGTCCAGCGCACCAAGCCGCCGATTTCCGCCATAGCTTCTTCTCGTCGTGACTTCGCGTCCACGAATGACAAGGCGAGTATTACCGTCATGGTAGCGGTTCCGAAAGCGGGGTCTAGAGGGCCCACATGCCGATCGAGGTCGTCATGCCATTGCGCGTGGCGGCGACAGAGATGCTGGCCTTTGACGAGAGCGTCTGATGGAGCGCGCCGAGGAGCACCAATGAGACGTGGTGCGACGAGCAGCACCGAGAAGTGCGGCTGCGTGCTTGGGTGAAGTCACGATAGTGGGGCGGAGCTTCTCGTGATGCTAGGCAGGATGGAGCTAACAGATGCGGGGGGCAAGCCAGGAAGGTGCTGGCCAGATTGGTCGTGCTTATGAATGCCCCGCTACTTATACACCCAGAGCAACCCGGCAGCGGCGAGCGCAGTTTGTTTCCCTCAAGCAGTCTCTTCCACCACACACGACACCACACCCCATCATGTCCCAAAGCGAGTGTCCCGTCAAGAAGACGCCCAACGTCGCTGGCGCCGGCACCCGGAACGCAGACTGGTGGCCCAACGAGCTCAGGACCAACATCCTCCGCCAGCACGACCCCAGACAGAACCCTCTCGGCGCCGACTTCAACTACGCCGACGAGTTTAAGAAGCTCGACTACGATGCGCTCAAGAAGGACCTCAATGCCCTCATGACCGACTCGCAGGACTGGTGGCCCGCCGACTTTGGCCACTATGGCGGTCTTTTGTACGTGCACCCCCCAATTGGCCCTAGCTACTTCCTCTAACATGCCCGTAGCATCCGTATGGCATGGCACTCGGCTGGTACCTACCGCGTCACCGACGGCCGTGGTGGCGGCGGTGAGGGACAGCAGCGCTTTGCTCCCCTCAACGCATGGCCCGACAACGTCTCCCTCGACAAGGCCCGCCGCCTGCTCTGGCCCATCAAGCAGAAGTACGGCAACAGGATCTCCTGGGCCGACTTGATGCTGCTGACTGGCAACGTCGCGCTCGAGTCCATGGGCTGCCCAACCTTTGGTTTCGCCGGTGGCCGCGCCGACACGTTCCAGTCGGACGAGTCCGTCTACTGGGGTGGCGAGACCGAGTGGCTCGGCAGCGACGTCCGCTACGCTGATGGTGCCAAGGGTGTCAAGGGCCAGGGCATCATGGACGGCGACCAGCACAAGGTCGACAAGGACGAGACCCACACATCGAGGGATCTCGAGAAGCCTTTGGCCGCCGCACACATGGGTCTCATCTACGTGAACCCAGAAGGTAAGCACACCCAGCCGGCATTCTGCTCCTTCCAACCTAACGCGCTCAGGTCCCGAGGGTGTTCCCGACCCCGTTGCCGCCGCTCACGACATCCGCACGACTTTCGGCCGCATGGCCATGAACGACGAGGAGACCGCCGCCCTCATCATCGGAGGCCACTCCTTCGGAAAGACACACGGTGCTGCTCCCACCGAGAACACCGGCCCAGACCCGAACTCTGAGGATCTTTCGACACAAGGATTTGGATGGATGAATAAGCACGGCCGCGGTAACGGTCCCGACACCATCACGAGTGGTCTGGAGGTTACCTGGACCGGCACACCCACCAAGTGGAGCAACAAGTACCTCGAGTACCTCTACAAGTACGAGTGGGAGCTGGAGAAGAGCCCTGCTGGCGCGAACCAGTGGGTCGCTAAGACCGAGGACAAGATCATTCCCGACGCCTACGACCAAGGCAAGAAGCACAAGCCGAGGATGTTGACTACCGATTTGTCCATGCGCATGGACCCTGCCTACGAGAAGATCACGCGTCGCTGGCTGGACCATCCCGAGGAGCTACACGACGCCTTTGTTCGCGCCTGGTTCAAGCTCCTCCACCGTGACATGGGTCCCCGCTCCAGGTGGTTGGGCCCGGAGATTCCTAAAGAGGTGCTCATCTGGGAGGACCCCGTTCCCCAGCCAGAGGGCGAGATCATCGGCGAGTCCGAAATCTCAACGCTGAAGAAGCAAATCCTTGACGCTGGCATTGAGCCTGCTAAGCTCATCCGCACTGCTTGGGCTTCAGCAGCTTCTTTCCGTGGCAGCGACAAGCGTGGAGGTGCCAACGGTGCCCGTATCCGCCTTGCTCCCCAGAAGGATTGGGAGGTCAACAACCCCAAGGAGCTTGCCGAGGTTCTCAAGGCCCTCGAAGGCATACAATCCAAGTTCAACGGTGGCAGCAAGAAGGTTTCTCTGGCTGACTTGATCGTCTTGGCTGGTACCGCTGCCGTCGAGAAGGCTGCCGGTGTATCCGTTCCCTTCACCCCCGGCCGCACCGACGCTTCGCAGGAGCAGACTGACGTTCAGTCTTTCGAGCACCTTGAGCCCGTCACTGACGGTTTCCGTAACTTTGGCAAGGGTACCGAGCGTGTCCGCACCGAACAACTCGACGTCGACAAGGCTCATCTTCTCCGCCTTACTGCCCCTGAGATGGTTGTCCTCACCGGTGGTATGCGCGCGCTGAACGCCAACTGGGACGGCTCATCCCACGGCGTCTTCACCAAGCGTCCTGGCCAACTCACCAACGACTTCTTCGTCAACCTCCTCGACAACAACACCGAGTGGAAGGCAACTGATGCAAGCAAGGAGCTGTACGAGGGCGTTGACCGCAAGTCCGGCCAGAAGAAGTGGACCGCCACTCGCCACGACCTTGTCTTCGGTGCGCATCCCGAGCTCCGCGCCGTCGCCGAGACATACGCCTCACCCGATAACGCGGACAAGTTTGTCAAGGAGTTTGTTGCCGGATGGGAGAAGATTATGAACAACGACCGATACGATGTCAAGAACAAGTCGGTGAGTGCACAATCGAGTGGAGCAAACAGGCCGCGTCTGTGAGAAGAATCACATGCAGTCACGGTCGCGTTTTCGTTCCCCTGTTTCCGCGCGTGTAACCTACCTTCTACTTTTCCTGAGTGGGTAGCATGGTGGTTGGGTTGTGTTACACTCGCTGACGTTTTCTTCACTAGACTTGAGTCTTGTCATTGTTTTTACATGAAGAAACCTTTGCCATGAGATATGAGATACCTAGGTAGTACCGCTGTGTCCCAACACACAGAAGGAATAAGACTATGATACAATGCACATTTACATCAAGAATGGATTTACGTGCTAATTGGGCGTGATTTTGCCGTCTTGACATTGGTTCTGGGTTGTGGTCTCACTGTCAAACACAAGATATTCATCGGAACAAACACGTACAGCAAACAAACACATTGATTTATTTGTCGACGCAAGATGAGGTTGTCGAGGTGGAAAGAGGAGAGAGAATGCTACATAAAACGCCAGCGCGCCCAAGCGCATGCTCTAACCCAGGTCATTAATCTCGTTATGCTCAACGCAGGTGTAGGAAAGTCCAATTCACGGCAACCCAATACCGCATCGCTATGCTCCTTCCGCGTTCGTCGTAATGTGAATCCCAGGTGTCGCAAGCTTGATCATCGTGCACTAGGCACAAGCTCATCTTGATGCTTTCGCAGCGTAATAGTAAGTCGCTGCACCAGTACCAAGAACAAGAGCGGAAGCACTGAAACTTTTGTGTTAGCAATGGCGTCACTCAATACTGTCATTGTGTGATGGAATTCGTACGAGGCAAGAGCGCCACAAGCCACATACTCAAGGATTCAGGGAGAAAAGGAAACGGTGTTCGCTCACCTAGCTCGCTTCCGATCGCCAAAACAAGCAGTCATGAGGTGACCGACGGGCCCAAACATGACTCGGAAGAAATGCTGAAGAAAGTTCTCGTTGTGATGATTCGGTCGCTGTGCAAGTGCAGGCTTCGCTGCCTCGACAATCTTGTCTTTGATACTCACACCATCTACCACTGCGCTTGTCGCATCTTCTGATGCCTCTGAAGAATCCTCAACTAGTACTCTGCGCTGCCGAAGGTCAGAATCCGGACCGGCTACAGGGTGCGCACCTGCGGCGGTAGCCTTGGGCTCAGACGTAACTTGATCCATGGCAGGTTTCTCGGTGTTGACAGATGTGGTGGTGGCATCTCGCAGAGCATTGGAAGCCCGAGAGACGTCTTTTGCACCATCATGCTTATCCACACTTTCCGCTTCGCTGGACTCGTAGGTATGATTACTCGACTCGTCATGTTTGGTGTCG